AAGTGCATGAGAAGAGGTAATATGAAATAAGTATGGAGAGATAGGCTGAAAAAAACAAAACAAAACATGAAGGACTTTACATGCCAAACAGAAGAGTTCGTGTTTTATCCTGGAGACAAGAAAAAGCCACTTAAATTTTTTTAGAGGGTTAGTAACATGATCAGACCTGCTTTAGAAATATGAATTTGGTAGCTATGAAGGAGACAGAATGGAAAGGAGGAGAGACTAAATGCTGGAGAACAACTAGGCAATCACTAAAGCCCAAGGAGGCCTGGATCAGGCTACTTGTGGTATGAATGGAAAGAAGATGAGATTCAAGAAACGATGTAGAAGTACAAGGAATAATACACGCCAACCGATTATTCTGAAGATAAGGGAAAGCGAGTACATAAGAACTGCACTCCATTGGTACTCTAAATCAAAAATCTCCAAAGTGGTAGCCATGAGAGAAACCCCAGGGTTTGTAGCCCAGCTACAAAGGATATGTAAGCAACCAGTTGGAGGATGGGAAGATAGGTAACACCCCACCCTCAGTGTACTAGCCCAATTGTGGAGCTTGTCTCCTACACAAGAACAACTCTTTTCTCCCAATCATTCTGCTCCTTCCTTATGCTGTCCAAGTTACTGACTTTCGAACTATCCTCACAGTAGTTGTCCAGCTTGATAGAAGTCCCTCTATCCAGGTGCTACTGGAAAAACTTACCCTAGTGCTCTTCCTATCACTTTGAGGCTATGTCAAGGATTCTTTTGAGGGGGAGTTCTGCATTTGGTGGCAGTGACTGGTGAGTAAGAGTCCTCCTTTTCATATTGGGAGAAACAATGAGTCACACAGAGTGCATAGGCATGGATGGATTGTTGTCTGGATTTCAGTTATAATTATATTATCTTGTCCTCCAAATATACCCTTCCTTCAAACATCCTTATTAATACCAAGAGTACCATCTTCCTTCTAGTCACCTAGGTTTTTACAAGTTGGACATCTTTGACTCCTCACTTCTTCCTATATATCTAACTGGTTGCCAAATCTTATTGGTTCTATGTCCATCTCACTCATATCTGTCTCTTTTTTACTTATATAGCCACCATACTAGGTTAGGACGGATCATCTCTCTCCTGGACTCTTGAAATATAGCTTCCTAAATTTGCCTCACTGCTTTGTCTCTCCCCTCTCCATTCTATCCTCCATTCATCTGCCAAACTGATATTCCTAAAGTATAGGTTGACCAAGTTACTCTCCTGGGTGAGGGGGGAAGGGAAATGTAAGTAGTTTCCATGTTGACTTTAGCATAAAATACAAAACCCTCACTTTGACATGTAAAGTCCTTCATGATTGGATTCTAATCTATTTGGACTTGTTTTACATGAATTGCTCTTGTGCCTGTCATTTTCTTAAAGTACAGCCTGACCATGTCACTCTCCTATCCAACAGTCCATCAATCAGTCAATAAACATGTATTAAGCACCTGTATGTGCCAGGCACATATAACATATAAGTGCTGGGGATAAAAAAAAAAGGCAAAAATCAGTCCTTGCTCTCAAGGTGTTCACAATCTAATAAGAGAGATAAGAAGGAAGCAAATATGTACAAATACTATATAGACAGATAGATAGATAGATAGATAGATAGATAGATGGATATAGATATTATATATGTATATATACATGTATGTGTATATATATATATATATACACACATATATATATGTGATAAATAGGAATTATTTGGCAGCTGGGTGACACAGTAGATAGTGCACTGTGTCTGGAATCAGAAAGATCTGAATTCAAATCCAGTCTCAGATACTTCCTAGCTGTGAGACCCTGGGCAAGTCACTTAATTTATATTTGCCTCAGTTTCCTCAACTGTAAAATGAAGATAATAATACCTACCTACTAAGGTTGTTTTGAGGATCAAATGAGATAATAATTGTAAAGCACCTAGCATAGTACCTAGCATTATGTGCTAATTGCTAGGTGGTAGTAGTAATAGTAATAGTAGTAGTAGTAGTAGTAGTAGTAGTAGTAGTAGTAGTAGTAGTAGTAGAAGAAGAAGAAGAAGAAGAAGAAGAAGAAGAAGTATTGGGCAGCTAGGTGGCACAGAGGATAGTGAAGAAACCTCATCTTCCTGACTTCAAATCTGGCCTCAGACACTTGGTAGCTATTTGACCTTGGGCAAGTCCCTTAACCCTGTTTGCCTCTATGTCCTCATCTGTAAAATGAGCTGGAGAAGGAAATGGCAAACCACTTCAGTATCTTGACAAGAGAACCCCAAATGGGGCTACAACTCATGTCCAATTAGACTGAACAACAAAGTAATTATCATTTGAGCCCCAATAAGGGCCAAGCCTGAACTAATCAACCGGAAGCACCCCAAAATAATAGACATGCTTTTTCTTTGTTCTCTGAGTGAATTCAAAATGCCTCTTCCTGTGTCAGCAACTATAGCTGACCAGCATTTTTCTGTTTATGACCACTAAGGTGCCTTAGACCTGGACACTATCTTGAATAATGGGATTTTTCTTATCTTGGTATTTTATGGACATATACTATGCTATGTCATGTTAATGGTAAAAGAAACACAGATATCCTAGATCTATAATTACAATTGACACTTTGACATTCTCCTATCTTATTGTATTTACAACCTATTCAACTAAGATCATTCCTTTCTTATGCTATTGTTAAATGTATGGAGACCATAAATCTGAATAACACAGACATCCTGAGTCAGGGTTTAAACGTCCTCCTAAAATTGCTTGATTTAGTCAGAGTTAAAGCTTTGACTTCATATATATGTTACTAACTTAAGGGAATAAACAATATGAATTTACTTATCACCTAGCTTGTTGCCTCTTTAACCAACTTTCAGGTTGACAAAAGTTAGTACTAGTAGTATTCATTAATTCAGAGATGGAAGACACTAGAATTAAGAAAGGTTGGGAAAGGCTTCCAAAAGAAAATAAGATTTTAATTGGGACCTAAAGGAAGCCTGGGAACAGGGAAGCCAGAAGGTGTAGATGAGGAGGGAGAGCATTCCAGGCATGGCAGACACCTAGAAAAAATGCCCAGACCCAAGAGACAGAAAGTCTTTTTCACCTGAGAGATTGAACATCTTATTATTGGAATTGCAAGGAGGCTAGTGACACTGGATTGAAGGGTACATGGCAAGGAGTAAGGTATAAAAAGAAAGAAAAGGTAGAAGGGGCTAGAATATGAAAGACTTTGAACACTGAACAGAGATTTTGTATTTGCTTCTGGAGGCAATAGGGAAGCGCTGAGAAAATCATTTTGGTGACCGAATGGAGAATGAATTGGAGTGGGAAGAGACTCAAGGCAGGCAGACCCATCAGCAACCTATTGCAACGGTATAAGTGTGAAGTAATGAAGGTCTTCAGCATTGCAGTAACAGTATCAGAGGAAAGAAGGGGGCATGTTGCAAAGGTAAAAACTGACAGGCTCTGTAACTGATTGGATGTGGGAGGTGAGAGATAGTGAGGAGTCAAGGATTATGCCTAGTTGGTGAGCCTAAGGGATTGGGAGGATAGTATTGTACTTGATGGTGATAGGGAAGTTAGAAGGGCTGAAGAGGGTGAGAATAAATGTAGTCAACCACAATGTTATTTCAAGAACTGAAAGCATCCTTTGCATCCCCTGAGGACCAAACCTTAGAATACAAGTAAAAATTGTGGAAGGAAACACAGACAGAATTGATAGTGAGGACTAACAGATGCTCTGTTTGCGGAGGACATTGTATGAACTACATTAAGCCCTAAAACATTGAAGAGCCTTCCAAAGAGATCTGTGATCACTTAATGGAGATTGGCCTGGTAATTTATAAATGAAACACCAAAGGAATGTAGATTACCTATTGCCCAGATTTCAGCATACACCTATATAAACATTTGTCCATTGGAACTGAGCTTGCCCAATACTACGTATATAGGGGACGGACAAGATGATGGACAATGAGCCTGGCCCAGAGCTGAAAAGGAAAAGGAAAAGTAAAGTGGTCTGGATTGCATTTAAGGAATTGAAAAGTACTTTTACTGAGCCTAAGCTTCCCATGACAGTAAAGGCTCAGCTTTTTGGTATAACCTCTTACCAGTGTTGCTGTATGTCAGTGAGACCTAGAACACCATCGCCCAGAAACTAAATATGAGCATCATACTGAGTGAAATTGAAGGGTTCATCTTGCACATGAACAGGCTGCAATCAATGGGGAACTTCAGAGACAAAGGATGTCACCTAAAAAAGTATATGAAATCCTAATCATATAGTAAGAATGAGGGAGGACAAGTGGATGGCCAGAATGTTTCATTGATACTTTCCAGTGTGAGGAAAATGAAAAGATAGCCCTCATAACTTTGGGTGGACACCCTGGGTGAACTTTCAAGACGACATGGATAAGAAGCTGATCAGGCACAGAGGAGTTGTAAGGATAAAATGAGATATTTGTAAAGTTATTTGCAAACCTTAAAGCACTATATAAATGCTAACTATCATTGTCATTATCATTATTGTTATTTCCATTCTCCTAGTATGGAGCCCAGAGCACATGTTCCACTTCATATTCACCAGCTATCGCACTACTGAATTAGAATAGCTTAGGGCTAAAGTTTTTCCCCAAAAGGAAACTTCCAGTAAATTCTGGAACTAGATTCAACCAATCAGGGCTGAATTCTGGGACCACATCGAGGGGAGAGGCAGGTGGGTGTGGCTCTTAGCTCCACCCCTCTCCATATTTAGCCCCCAGGGATGTGTGACTTTCGGTGGGGAGGGGGAAGGAATTTTCAGTGAAACAGGAAACTTGAACTGAAGCTGAAGGAACTAGCGCTGTGATTGGTTGGGTTTTTCCTCTTCCCGCCCCCTCGCCCCAGCTTCCACCATAGGCCAGTCGAGACCCAACCCTTACCGTCCATCCGGACGAGTAGAGCCAATCAGCTCTAAGATGCCGAGGACCCCAGAGGAAAGCCCCGCCTTGCTATATATAGCTGGGCCGGCCGGGAGCAGTTGCTTCAGCGCTCCGCGGCCTGGGACTGGCTTCACTCTCAGCTCGCTGGAGCCGCTGCCCCGCAAACCCCCTCCATCCTCTCCCCCCCGGGCCCCTCTCCTCTCCCTTACATAGTGCCCGCGTCGTCCGGGACGTTTGGACTAATTTTGCAGGGTGAGGAGAGGACAGGCCCCGGGGGGGAGGCTTGCTACCGAGGAAGAGCCGCCGCGAGGAGCTCAAGGTGAGGGCTCGGGCGGCCCAGGTCGTTGGCAGCGGGCGGGTGGTGCAGCTGGAAGATTTTTGCAGTTGGTGGGGCGGGGTGGGATGGACGGGGGTCTGGGGGGCGGGGCGGGGCTCGGTGAGGGGCTTGGGGGGAGTGGGGAGGCTCTGGATTTGGGGGGTTCCACGGACACAGCGCCGCCCATTCCCTCCCCCCGACACCCCGGTTCCAGTTCTCTTCCCCCTCTCCCCCGAGTCTCGGGTCTCGTCCCCCCAAGTTCCCTTCTCCACCACCTGCAAGTTTCTTGTCAGTTTTCCCTTCCCCTCCCCGCCCCCAGTCCTTTGTTTTTACCCCCGCACCCCTGCGTCTCCCTCTCCCCCCCAAGCTCTGCCTCTTCTCCCAAAGTCCCCCTTCTGTCTTCTCCCCAGGTCTCCGTGCTCTCTGTGTTCCTCACCCCCGTTCCGCCTTCCCCCCCGGTCTCCCCATCCCCGATTCCAGTCGGGCTCCTCACATTCTTCCCTTTGCCTTCGCCCCCGGGAGTGCCTTGGGAGCGCTAGCCTGGACTTGTCAGTGCCAGGTGGAAGTGGAGGCGGTTCCCACCCCCCCCCGCACACGTGTCTCGCTCCGCCCCCAGTGGCTGTCCTGTGATGGGTGGGAATAAAAGGAAGTTGATTTGAAAGGCCTTGAAGGTTTCTCAGTTGTCCGCTCTTGAACGTCCACCACCCCCTTCCCAAGTAAATATCGCTGGGGAGAAGTCCAGACCTATAGCAATGCCAAAGAAAGAGCTACCCCGCCTCCACTCCCCCTTTCTGACCCCTTGTCTTGCTGCTCCTTTCTCGGTCTTGCACTATATATAGATGATAGAGGCACTGGTAACAACTGAAGCTCAGAAACTGCTGCACCAGCTGAATGTTCTGTTGGAACAGGAATCCAGATGTCAGCCAAAGGTCTGTGGCTTGAGACTAATTGAATCTGCTCATGATAATGGCCTTCGGATGACTGCAAGACTGAGGGACTTCGAAGTGAAAGACCTTCTTAGCCTGACTCAGTTCTTTGGTTTTGACACAGAGACTTTTTCTCTAGCTGTGAATTTACTGGACAGATTTCTGTCCAAAATGAAGGTATGTTTTAAAGTGTCTCACACTGAATGCTACTCGATTTGGGATATCTGAGATGGAATTGTTTACTTTGAGTTGATTTGTGGCCAGGATCCATTCAGCTAGCATTTTTTGAGCATCTGTTAGGTGCTAAGCCAGGGTGGGGATACAGTCCCCTTCCCCTCCCCGCCCCCAGTCCTTTGTTTTTACCCCCGACCTTGTCTCTTCTTGTCTACTTAAATGCATTTAAGTAATTTATATTCCATTGGAATTTTCTGAATAACACATTTCTGCATTTTAACAGACTTGCTGTTGGATTAGATAGGACTACTGGGTATTTGACTTTTAATTTTATGTTATTAAAGTATAAACATGTTGGGACAGATTAGAAGATTGGAAATAAGAATTATGGGGTGACCCATGAGTATTCAGTGTTCCAGGTGGTTCCACTTCAGCCTCCTTAAAGACTTTCTGTCTTTATGAACTATTTCAGTGAAGAGGAATGGTGGTCCTACTCTTATTTTACAGCTGTAAAAACCGATGTCACACAAGTAGAATCAGAGATAGGATTTGAACCCATGTCCTTTGTAGACTTTTTAGCGCACCGTGTTGCCTCTTTCTACCTATAGACAATTAAGTAAAACGACCTGTTTATTAAGGGTCCTCATTTGTGAAATTTCTGCCTACCCCAGAAAATGAAAATAACTAATCTGCTAACTTTGGTACGTAGCCCAAAATGCATTTTTTAAAGATTGGCATATTACCAAATCATTCAACAAATTATTGTTTGCTACAAATTATAAAAGATAGAAAGCTGGCTCGTAGCTTAATGTGAGCCTCACAAATAAGGGGGGGAGAGTGCCCTAACATGTATTAAATAATTGATATCAGGATTCAGAAGAGGGAGCCATCAAATTTGGTCTGGGGGATCACTTAGGCTTTGAAAAATAGGATTTCGCCTGGCAGAGACTGGAAATAGCATGTGTTATTGCTCTTGTTCATAAGTGTTACCATATTGTGTTTGTGGTATCACAAACTTCATAGTTGTGTAAATTGAAGAATATACTTTGTAATCTAAATTACTAAAGAATACTTCCTAGAAAATTAAAACCTAGCTGGATTTGAGAATCAAGTGCTTAGAAAGGGATAGCACCTTTCTTTTCGATGTAAAAATAATGCTCTTTAGGAAAGACAAAACTTGGAAATTGTGGTCCAACTATTATTACTTGTTATTATAATAATGCTAAATCATTATTTCTAGGTTGACCAGAAAATCTATTTTTATAAAAATGCTTTATTAACAAATTTCTGTGATTAGAACCTTACTGTGTGTAAAAGGTTTCCTTCACTTGTTAATGCCAATGATGCCAAGGTCATATAGATTATGTAGTACTCAGTGGGCAAGTCATTTGTGTTCCACAGTCACAGATTATATACCCTTTCTCCTTGTCAAATCAGTTCAAAAATCCAAGCAGGCGGTGAGAATGAAGGCAGATGAGTATGAATGGAAATGTTTAAATTTATCACTTATAATTATAAAAAATAGCCCAAAGTATTTGCCACGTAGAGGCTGAATCCAATTTGTCTTCTCTATAAAAAAAGATACTAATAATAATGAAGAAAGTCACTTAGAAATGTTAAAACGTGTTTGATTTAAAAATCATGGAGACTCAACATTTTGTAGGTACAGCCCAAACATCTTGGATGTGTGGGATTAAGTTGCTTCTATCTGGCTGTGAAATCGACAGAGGAAGAGAGAAATGTCCCCTTAGCCACTGATTTGATACGAATAAGCCAATACAAATTCACGGTTTCTGACCTGATGAGAATGGAAAAGATTGTGTTGGAGAAGGTGTGTTGGAAAGTCAAAGCTACTACTGCCTTTCAGTTTCTACAGCTCTATTATTCGCTCATTCATGAAAACTTACCATTTGAAAGGTATGTAATCTATATTTTGAAAGTAGAATTTTATAAAATACAGCGGTATGATTTCTATGTACTGGTCATTAATACTATGAAATAATTTTAATCATTCACACATTTTAACACTAAAAAGACAACTGATGTTATTTTCTGCCTCAGCAGCTAGGTAGTCATTTAAAAAATCAAATGGGAAGATAAGTAGTTGTTAATGCCTCCCTACAAGTGATTGGTAGGTAATCTTTGGGCCCTCTCATGAAAGAGCTTGTGCTTCATCAGATTTTCCAGCTCCAGACTAAACTACCAGCTTAGAATCTTTCTCAAACCAGAGAAAAAACAACTACAATAGAAACCTAAACCCTACATCATTTTTAAAGAGTTAAAAAGATAATTTTGGTTTCTGTGGCACGAAGGTGCTTCATTTGAGTAATGTTAGGCATTAGTAATTAAGATTTCTATATTTTCTTTTTGGACACATTCAGAAATGTCACTAGAACTGAATAGCATTTCTTTAAATACATAATAGTCATGTTGTGAAAGAAAACATAGACCAAAAAAAAAACCTTAAGAAAAATGAAGTAAAAAAAGTGTGCTTCAATCTGCATTCAGACACCATCAGTTCTTTCTCTGGGGATGGATAGCATTTTTCATCATATGTCTTTCAGAGTTATCTTAGATCATTGTATTTCTGAGAATAGCTAAGTCATTCACAGCTGATCATCTTAAAATATTGCTGTTACTTTGTATGCAGTGCATTTCACTTTCCCTCAGCCCACTCAAGTCTTTCCAGGTTTTTCTGAGAGCATTTTCATCATTTCTTACAGTATAATAATTTCCCCTCATAATCACATACCACAGCTTGTTCAGCCATTTCCCTAATTGATGGGCCTCCCCCCAATTTCTAATTCTTTGCCCTCAGAAAAGAACTGCTATAAATATTTTTGTACATATAGGTCCTTCTCCTTTTTCTTTTTTTTTTTTAAATATCTTTGGGGATAGAGACCTAGTAGTAGTATTACTAGGTCAAACAAAGGGTATGCGTGGTTTTTTAGCCCTCTGGGCATAGTTCAAAATTTCTTTACAGAGTGGTAGAATCCATGCTGAATTCCACCAACAGTGCATTAATGTCTCATTTTTCCCATGTCCCCTCCAATATTTGTCATTTGCCTCTTCTGTCCTATCAGCCAATCTAGTAGGTATGAGGTTGTACTGAAAAATTGTTTTAATTTGCATTTCTCCAATTAATAGTAAGTTAGAGTATTTTTTCATATGACTATAGATAGCTTTGATTGAATAGCATTATTTTTAAAGGAAACAAGTTCAATTAGTTAAAGTTCATTTTCTTGCTATGATTAAAAGTTTATAAAAATTTTCTGAAGTTTTTGTCTTTTGACTTGACAGTTAATTTTATGTAGATGATTTCACTTTATTTCTTCTTTTAAAGGAGAAAGAACCTGAGTTTTGAAAGACTGGAAGCTCAGCTTAAGGCATGCCACTGTAGGATTATGTTTTCGAAAGCAAAGGTAAATACTTTAAGACTAAATCTGTTGATGTAAACCTATTTTTACATGTAACATTTATTACACATTTTATCTTCTTTAGCCTTCTGTATTGGCATTGTCCATAATTGCACTGGAGATTCAAGCACAGAAATTTATAGAATTGACGGGAGGAGTAGAATGTCTTCAGAAACATTCCAAGGTATGTATTTGTCTTTTGCTCACATCTGTAATAGCTGACCATTTGTTAATATATCTCCTAAATCAAAAGGTATGTTGTATATTTAGACTTTTTTTTTTCAGATAAGGAAAATACACAATAATATTAATTCAGCAATAATCTAAAATGTTTTTATGCAGATAAATTGCAGAGATCTGATCTTCTGGCAGGAACTTGTAGCAAAGTGCCTAACTGAATACTCATCAAACAAGTGTTCTAAACCAAATGTTCAGAAGTTGAAGTGGATTGTGTCTGGGCGCACTGCACGTCAGTTAAAGCATAGTTATTACAGAATCGCTCATCTTCCAACGATCCCTGAAACTGGACCGTAATAGGTAATTTGCTTCTAAATTATTTTTGAAATAAGAATCTATAGGGCCATAACTTTTCTTCCAAAATGCTAATTCTCATTGTACTAAATGTTCAGATATCATTTGAGCAACCTTTCAAATGAGATTAGATTGAGAAAGTTAAGGGGATATTAACCTTGCTTTATGATATCAGTGATTTGAGTGTCTTCGATGTGCAGTACAGGAGTTTTTTTGTTTTGGGGGTTTTTTCCTGTATTATCGATGTACCTAAGGCTTTGCATAAACATATGATCAGTAGGATAAGGAATTTTATGGTGGTAGTATTGTTTTCTGTAGCCTTCCTCAGCATTTTGTACAAATTATAAATTTAAGAAAACACAGTTCTTAAAAAATCTTCAGTCCTAAGCGTGAACCAAACATAGTGAATTGAAATTACCATCAAAATAGTTTATTCATTTTAAAATGGAAATTACTTAAAATGTTCACTTGTGAAACATTGAGTGACATTTTTAATTGTTTCTGTCTCTGTACATGCATGTAACTCCCATGTAATTTAAAGCTCTGGATCAAAGGCCTTTCCCTTTGAAAGCTTTTCATATAGCCCTAAGTGTCCTACTTTCTGAACCAGAAGCTTAGAACCATGGAAGCTCCTTTTTGGGGGTCATAAGCTTAAGACAAATGCATCTATAAATGTAGTTCACTCTGTAGGTCTTATTTGCTTTATATTAATCTTAATATGATACTTAGTGGGAGAAAGAAGATTATCAAGATACAAGATTTTGGGATTTTATCTCCTGCAATAGCTCTTCCCCTTTCACTCCTATCAAAGGTTCTTTTTAACCTATATTTTAAAAAAAATCAGTGATTGTTTTTGTGCTTTGTGAATTTCATTAAACCCCTAGATAATTGGGAGGTATCACAAAAAAATTAATAGATAATTGATTGTCAGATAATATTCTATATATAGAGTACAAACTGTACATATACTGCCTATTCCTAAAACTTTTAAACACTTTTTCATATAGAGTCATCTTTTTTTCCCAAATCTTTAAATTTTATATTTATGATGGTTAGGAGTAGAAAAGTGATTTTTTTCAAATTAAAAAAATCATTCCATCATTAAAGTTCTTGAAATAGTTTGTGATTCTAAAGCTTTAGATATGAACAAGTCATTTTAAAATTTATTATATGCATGTACTTTTGTAGGCTCCTAATAGCTTATTTCCTTTGTCTTAATAGGATTCTTATGGTGAAGAAATCCCCACTGTTTTGAAGGCTTATTTCACATCAGAACTGTGGACTCCAATATTAGAATGGATTTAAGCTGTGAAGCCTGAAACATAGCAACTAGGTTAGCATTGATGTTTTCAGACTTGAGAGGAAAACAGGCTATAGTTGGAAATTGATTATGTGTGCTGCAGTTGGAAATGTGTTCAGGACTAAATTATGATCGTCTTTGAAGCATGTTTATAAAAACTAAAACTCAAATGTGAACCCTAATGTAGAATAAGGATGGAAGACTATACTGTGAATTGTCAGTTAATATTGATCCAGTCTAGTAGTACCTGGATCAGCATACTGATTATAAGCAGTATTGATGGCAAGGTGTGATTGACTTTAATTGATGTTATTTTAATTGTGATGCAAGTTCACATCAAACTTCAGAAAAATGGTAAGATGCACTTTAGTATAGTGTCAGGGTTACTAGTCTTTGAGGCAGTATAAACAGCCGTGTTAAAGCCTTATACAACTAGATGATCCAATAATTCTAAAGATTTATTTTTGTTTGGCATATTTTTCATTTAAATATGATTATAAAATCCTATTAAAGTTGTAGACAGACATGTTGAATTTAAGTGATCTTCAAAATTATCCTAGGGAACAAGTGAAATGGTATACAAAGTTTTATATAGAATGATTTTTATCTCAATATCTAGCCCCCTCAGAAAATTTCTGTTGTACAAGCGACTCTCATAGTCTGCCAATCTGAAACCTCAGCTGTACCCTTCTAAAGCAATATATGCTAATACTAACACTCTAGAGCTTTTAAATAAGGATTACAGTTGGTATGAAACTGGACCTTTCATATAGAGCTTTCTATTTAAAAGCAGTACATGTGGGGTATGCTATTGTTATAATGCCCCTGTAACAGTTCAGCTTAGACTAAAGTGAGTTGTCTATCCAGATTCAAGTAAGCAGCAGTTTAATTGAGTAATTATGTGATAGGTGGAGCACTTAAGGCTAGTTGTAGGTTAATGAATCTAAATTGACATATAGGGTTGGGAAAGCATATAGTTAATCAGTGCAATATATAGCTTAACTTCCACAATAGCTATAACTGGAGTTCAAATTTCCCTTTGACATCATGTTGTGGGGAAAAAAACTTCCCTTTAAAGATAAACCAAAGAACCACAGTATGTCTCATATGTCTTATGCTTCATTTTGTAAAGCGTTTTGCAGATGCACTCTTCAGTTACTCCTAAACACCTGATTCATTGAAGAATTTCCTTTCTAATTCATCAATGCAAACTTAAGTTGGCTGAAGTAACCTAACAAAGTACCTTAATGTTGTGGTACTAAGGAAGTGACCTTTCAATAAAACTATTGAAATGCATTGTCTGGAATGTTCTGTACACAGTTAAAATTATCTCCAAACTGCCAGTTGAGTCTATCCTAACAAGAACAAAATAAAGCAAGTAATTTCTACTAGGTTCTGGTACGTGATATAGATGAAAGATCACTGACCTGGGAGTTTGGAATATTGCTTGCTATTCTAAGCTCTGTGAGCCTGTGACTACAGGTAACTCATTCACATTGAATTTTAGAATAGAAAGGACCTCAGAAGTAATCGAATTCACTTTGTAGTTGAAGAATCTTTTACATGCTGTGCTTAAAAAGACTTCCAAAGAAAAGGTGACCCAAAATGAAGTAGCCCATTTTACTTTTGGACAGCTCTTGTGTGAAGTTTTTTCTTACAAGAAGATAAAACTTACCATTCTGTAATTTAGTGTTTCTGACCTCTGAAGAAGCAAAAGTCTGTGACAACCCTTCATACACTTGTAAATACTTATAGACAACAAAGGGTAGTTAAACTTTGGAGTTTATTTAAAATCCTATAACCTAAGTCCACAGTGAAGTCAGGGGTTCTTAAACCCTTTTTGTGTCATGAATGCTTTAGCAATCCAATGAAGCCTATGGACCTTTGGGAAAGAAAAACTTCAAATGTATAAAATCTTTCAACTTACAAAGGAAACCAATGTACTAAAAGTTATCAATGTGTGTGTGTGTACAGGTACACATATATATATTTTAAAATCATCCCAGGATAAGAACTTGCTTTAGGTAAAATGAAGAGACCCAGAGAGCCTGGAATTTGGCTTTCCATACTGGCCACCTTTAATGTGTGTTCACTGCCAAGAAAAAATGTTTACTTGTGTTGTACATCATTTAGTAATTAATCTCTAATGGGTAATACAAGTATTAGGTCTCAGTCCCTCTACTCAGCAATCTAGAGATTGGAGGCTTGAAGGACTAGAAATTGTCATACTATTACGACTATTAAGGGGAGTTAAGGATTGCTAAAATTGATTTATTGGGTTACATTTAGGTTCATAAGAATACTTTGTTTACATTATAGCTACTTTCACCCCCTATCTCCAGCTCTTCCAACGTGCCCATAAAAAAATGGGTGTAGTACTATAACTTAACAAAACAATGTTTCATAGGAATATTATGCCAGTTTAAGAATCAGACTTTTTATTTTTCAATCATTGTTGGACTTTCACTAAGGTGAATCATTTCCCTTTGGTACTTTAAAATTGGTGGGTAATACCTATCCCATTTTTGGAATTAGAAAGCTTTATTGACAGTTATTCTGAATTACAGTTTTCCAAAGAAAAACTTTTAATTTCCCCTGAAGGCACACTTGAGCTTTGCATGATTATGGCCCACTGCTTAACAAACTAATAAGAGTTCAAGACCTGTTTAAAATGTCCTGCTGAGGGAAGTAAGTCCAAAAAAAAGACCACTTCTCCAGAACAGTTTCCATTGAAATTCAGAATGTTTTCTATGTAAACTGCATTTTGAATGCATTCTTTGAAGTCACATTTAATTTTTTTTTTTTACAATTCTCATTCAGCTGTGTAGGCAAATGAAGTTTTCCTCAATCACATAATCCAATCCTTTTACATTGGCAACATCTTCTCGGGTCCATGGAACATAGTTAAAAATGGCAGTTTTTATTTTTCGAGACTAGAGAAATCTGGTCCACCTTTACTGTAGTTTCCTGAGATTTCTGCTCCACTGAAGTCAAAACCTGGGTTCTGCAAGGAAGGAAGAGGATCATAAATTTACATCTTTATTATATAAGGTTTATGTACAATAAAAGTATTTAAGTGAAGAATGAGCCAGACACTGCTAGGCAAAAGTGAGTCAGTTCTTGCCTTCAAGGCGCTTACCTTTTACTACCTGGATATAACAGGTTCATATTTTACCTGAAATTTGAAGGGAGCCCTCAGGGATTCCTAAGGAGGAAGTAAGGGACACTATTTCAAGCATGGGGAAATGGCATGGAGGCAGGAAGATGCAAGTGATACAAGTAAACAGCAGGTAAGCAAGTTTGGTTGGATGTATGAGAAAGTAATATAGCCTGAAAAGACTGGTTGAAGCAAAAACATCAAGCATTTTAAATGGACTTGAAGGATTTTAAAAAGACTTTTATTTTATCAGAGGCAATGGGGAAGCCATCTGAACTGGGGAGAGATGAAAGCTGGGGCATAGATTTGGTAGACACCTGGATAGAGATGACAGTTGAACCCATGGGAGCTTAAACAGATTATCAAGAAAATGGGGAGAGAAAAGAAGCATTAGGACAGATCCCCATCGTTCATGCACAGGGGTTAGAGCATGGATGATGACCCTGGAAAGGAGATTCAACAGGACTGGCCTGATGAGTAACAACCGAGAAGAAGCAATGTCATGAACACCCAGAAAGAGAAGAATCTCTAGAACATAAACTGAAAAAGCTATTGGATTAGCAAATAGAGAGCTCACTGACGACCTTAGAGAGACTTTTTGATCGGGGATAAGGAGATGGAAGCTGTGTTCTTCAGCTCTGGAAACAATGAGTATAGACATTTCTGAGAGTCTGTGAAAGAATAGGGACAGAAAGGATGGTAATATCAGCTGAAGGTTTTTAAAGAACAAGGAAGGATCTGGGCACATATGAAGGTGATCAACAAGCATTCATTATGCACTTATATACCAGACACTTATATGCATGTAGAATAGATACAAAATATATACAAAAGAAACAAAGCAATTGGGGGAAGGGACATAAGGTGGAGGGGATACAAAAAGTCACCATGTAGGAGGTAGCACTTGAACTGAAAGGGGAAGAATTTCTAAAAGGCAGAGGTGAATGAGGAGTGAATTCAAGAAAAGGAGAAGCATGATGGGTGAGGGGAAAGGAAATGGAATTTTGCATCTGACAAAGCATACAGACCAGTTTGGCAAGCCCAAAGAGTTTGTGAACAGGAATAACGTGCAGTAAATCTGGAACTAGATGGTAAAGCCTTTAAAGGTCAAACAATGGAGTCCATTTGATCCCAGAGGGAATAGGAAGCCACTGGAGCTTCTGAGCAGGTGAATGACATGGTCACAAATGTGCTTTAATTCAGCTATATGGAATATCAGAGACTGGAAAAGATGGAGTACATGTTTACAATGGAAAGAAGGATCACCTTATTCTCTGAGACTACAGCAATTGGATGGAGGATGCTGCTGCAGTTATATGAGATTCATAACTGGAGATGAGAAGACATTTGATAAGAATGGCCTACATTTTTTCCAAAACATGAGTCAAAGTCCTCTTGTTGAGAAGAGGGGAAAAATGATGATGCAGATAGCACTGAAAGAAAAGAGAAGGTTTAGAACAGCTGATGTGGGCTATGCAAGAGAAATCTGATCAGATTTAGTCGGATACAACTAAATAGTTGCAGACAACTATTTAGACTGGATAACAAATTTGCAGCGGATCCAGCTGGCCTGGTTTTAAGACTTTCTCTAGTATAGTTCAGCAACCAGGCAAGCAGAAGCAAAAGTGGTGGAGCTGAAATCTTCAAGTATTAGGACAAGAACTGGGATGGAGAGAAATAGTAATATTATGAGCCTGGTACTGAACTCAGGGAGAAGAATAATCTGAGGTCAGTAATTAACTGCTACCAAAATCTGGTTGAGTGACATATCTGGACCAAGTGAACGTCATAAGATAGGTTACTGAGTGATGTAGCATATGAATGAACACTTTCAAAATTAATAAAACACTAGGTTTTCCAATGACTTTCTATAAAGGCTTAGTGTATATCGTAATAGTTATGTGGATTTAACACATGCTGAACACAGGAATTCATAAATTCATGTGACTTACTTCTTTTTGGAATCTCTCCAGGGTAAGTTTCCTTTGCATTTGGTCCTGTACCCAAGGATCAGCTGCATATTCGGTTTCTAAGAGAGAGGTCCAACAATTTGCTGCATCTCTCTTTGTCTTGGTAAGAACTATGCGGACCATTTTTCTGTCCTCTACAAGAAAAATTACAAATTATGAAATTATCATTTATCATTGCATTTAGTTTTTCAAAATCCTTCAAGTTATCATGGGAGATTTTTTTTTCAACAAACTTCAGTTGCTATGTTTTTAAAGATGCAAGGACAAAATAATATGGTTTAGAGGGGATAGGGAGGGGCCTCTGACCCAGAAACAATATATGCTAAAAGTATGCCAAATGGAGTTTTCAAATGTAGCAAATATCCTTACCTAATGTCCATGTTCCTTCATCAGCTATTGTAGAATCAAAGAGTTTGCCCTGAAAAGAGGAATTTGCAAGATTGCCCTAAAATGTTGCAATTCACCAAATATATAAAATCAACAAAAAATTTTGTTATGATTTAATATATACATCATGATTTTTCAATCCTTCCATATTGTCACAGAGAGACAGAGTAGCACAATGGATAGTGAGACAGCCTTAGAGTAATGAAGATCTGGGTTCAAGATCCGCCTCATATCTTGGCTATGTGAACTTGGGTCACGTACCCAAGTGGGTAGTGGGTAAGACTTACTTGGGTAAGTCTCTTGGTGCCCCAGTAAACTCTAAGACTAAAGTCTCAGAGCAGTCTCAGATTTACATTGGTATGGGGAATTTCTTTATTAAGGCATTCTTATACCAAGGAAATGACAAGACCAAAAATAAAAACAAACAAAACAAACCCCAAACATTGCTTTATTATATGCTGATGTTGACTCTTCATATTGATAGGTATATGCCATTGGGACAAACTAATTGTACTCCTACCATAATATAATAGTAAACTGGATGGAGGTTGAGGAAGGCCCTCAAGCACTTTGGGACAAATGTGGATGGACTGGAATTTGCATCACTGAAGAAAATATCCACAGATCAATTGAAGTGCTTGTTTTTTTTTTTAAGCAATCAAATTTTTAGCAGTTTAATTACTATACATAGGAGAAGGCTATAAGAAAACTTTCCTTAAGAAAATTTAGGGTTTTAAACTCTTGGTGCAGAGGGATTGAACTGTTTTTGTTTTTTTAAAACTATGCCTAACATAAAGTAGATGGAATCAAGTAAAACTACCAATAAAGAATCTTCCTAATTATAAAACTAGGGCATTCTGTTTTTCAGCAGATGGGTATACACTTCAGGTCACTTCTTAAGCAAAGCCATTAAACTATTAAGACTTTATAAAGAGATAATCTTGTAACACTTTATAGAGTTCATAAAGACTCTATAATACTTTATAAAGAGATAATTATCTTAAAATTTATGAAACTAGTGTCTGAATATTTCTTAAGATATGAACGTGGGGACTTGAACTCAATCCAGAGAACCTCTCTCACTGATATACAAGTGAATGGATGCTCCAAGCCTCCCTTTTCCCTTTCCTAAAATAACTTTCTAATAAACAGTTGTCTGTTGGGAAAGCTATAATTAGAATGGCGTTAAAAAGATACATCTAGTTATGAGATTTGTAAAGAGTTTTGTTATGTAAAATTAAAAACGTTTCTAAAAGAACCCCCCCTTTTAAATTGCTAGTTGCTAGATCCAAAAACATAACTTTTTAAGAAATGTAAAGTAAGAGCCTTCTTATCTGAGAAAACATTTCTGAAGAAGCCAAAATATCCTAAGTTTTTAAGGTTTTAAAATAAGAAAACTTTTCTAGAAGCCATGTGAATCCATAAAAGGCTGAAACTGCCACACAATTTTGTTATAATTCAATGTATTTTGTATAAATTCCCCCTTATTTTGCAGTGCTCAAGGTCTTTCTGCATTTTAAAAAAAAGACATCTTGGGAAATTCAATCTAATAAACATTAAACACCCAGTGTGTACAAAGCCAAGAGTTAGGTGCTGAACTAAATAAGTTCTGATAAGGTATTATCCTTAATCTGTCTTATATATGCAGGAAGAGGAAGAAATTTAACTTCATCATATGAACTGAATTAAAGTGCTATTTTTCAAGAAAAAAAGTCCTTTGTCTTTTGTCCCATGAAGTGCCTTTCCCATTACTAAAAGAATGAGTACAGAAATATGATATATTGTATAGATGTTAGATCCTAAGTCAAGTTCAGATGGTACCCTTCACAGAAAAAGTAAATTTAGAGGACTTGGTTGGGGAGGGAAGATTAAATTATGTTTGGGACATAATGGCCTTGAGATAACCATGTAACAAAACCAGATAGCACTGTCCTAAGATTTGAGTCATTTGTATCTGGATGAGAGTTGAACCCAAGAGAGCTGATGAGATTAATGAAATGGTGTCAAACTCAAACAGAAACTTTAGTTCACTAAACAAATGGTACATAAGGATCCCTTCTGCCTGCATATTAAGAAAACCACATACACACATCATCTATGTTTTATTACATTTTTGCTTATTTTGTTAAATATTTCCCAATTACTTTGTAATCTGGATCCCTGTTATTTGACACTTGATCTGAAGGGCCCTGGAAGACATCCTTAGTATGAGAAAGGAGGTGGATGATAAAAATAAGGACACCTGCCACTGTACATGAGTATTAGATACATATGTAGATATTTCTGAAAAGGTGGGGGGAAGAAATTTTGAAAATTAAATACTCTGAAGTTACTACAGTTTATTATTTAAAGGACTTAGCACAGTACAGCAAAAAGAGCACTGGATTTGGTTGATGTTGGAGGACCTAGATTTGAATCCTGGTTCTCTCATTTACTGCCTATGTCACTTTGGGCAAGTCACTTGACCTTGGTTTCCTTACCTGTAAAATGAGAGAACTAGATTAAATGACTTCTAAAGTCCCTTCCAGCTCTAAATCTATGATCCTATTACAATGCCTGTATGACTTGGAGCAAGTCAGGGGATTTTCTTGGCCTCGGCTTTCTCAGCTGTAAAATGCAGGGACTGGACTAGATGATTTCTGTGAGGTTCCCTCCTGCTCTAGAGACCATGATGTTTTCCCTAACTGGCACATTTTCTCCAGAACCCATCTTCTCAACTTTTATCAGTCTGTAGCACGGACTGCAGTCGACTTTGAAGTTTTCGAGAACAAAGAAGTGAGGAATTCACAAGATTCCTCCAAGTCATCTTCTACACGTTCCCATGGTAACTTCGGGCATCTGACAGCCCTGTTTCAGGGAGCACGACAAGGTCTATCGGGGAGAAAGCATCCTCTTTCCTAGCCCTACCACCCCTCTCCGAGAAGGCTGGAGGAGCCAAGTCACCCCCTAGCATGCGGAATCGAAACAATAAAAGGGCTCGAGGAAAGTTCATTTGGAAACGATGAAGAAACCTCTGCCCCTAAGCCTGCAGGGCCATGGGAATGAAGTCCTACCGCGTGGTCCCGGGGAAAGGCACGGGGACCCAGGGAGCGGTTCGGCTCCGACACCTGGGTCGGTCCCTTGAGGCTGGACCCGGTACGGGTGAAAGGCCGCCCCTACCTTGAGGATCTCCTGGCCCCGCACGGCTAGCTCCACATGCCGACTCTGCAGGCTGCACTGGATCTCTTGGGCACGAGTGCCCGGTGGCACCTGGACCTCGATAAACACCTCCTCTAGGGTCTGGTACCACTGGCCCCAGGGCGTCACACAAGGAACCACCCCACTTCGCTCCTCAAACGGGGCAGACATGCTTCCCTCGGATTCCACTGACCCTCCTTCGGATTCCACTGACCCTCTCGGTGCCAACCAAGGTTCCCGAGCGCAGGCGCAGAAGCGTCTCTGCCCATCTTGCCCATAGGTTACGGCGCAAGCGCAAAGCTCTGGGAAGTTCGGGCGGAAGCGAGTTTTTTTCACCGCGGTAACCATCTTGGTAACTGGCAGAGCTGGCCGTTAAAGAACTAATATTCTGAAGTGATCCAGGAGGAAAATTTGCATAAAAGGAACAAATAAGGAAAGTATTAGGAAAGGGAAAGTCTGAGAGATGGGAAAGTCAAGTGAAATTCGTTACGCTTTCAGATAGTTGAAATCAGAATCAATCAAAATCATTGATTGAAATGCGCTTGCGCACACCCGTCCCCACATTTAGCGCCAGAAGCTATTCCGGAAATGGCGATTACTAGCCTTCCCATTGGCTGAGTTACTCAAACGTCGAACCTTGCGTGCTTGCCCACCTAATTGGTTGGCTGGAGAGCTATTTGCGCATGCTCCGAAATGCTTCCTGCAAGGATTGGTGCAGTAGAAGGAGCCGACGTTCCGATTGGCTTCTCCTGAGAAGGGAGGGGACCATGCTGAGCTTTTCGAATTCAATTGAAAGGGTTGCGGTTGCTGGGATCTCTGGTGTGCCCGGAGGCTACGTTGACATGTCCTTCCCCAAGGCCCCGCTTAAGCGCTTCAATGACCCTTCTGGTGCGTATAGGGAGAGCCTGAGAAATCTTCAAGTGGGGAAGCTGCTAATGACTAATTTGGAGTCGGAGGCCAGGGGTGTTACTCCTTTTCTCGTGACCCAGATCTGCTGCCTTCTTTCATCAGAATCTAAGCCTGGGGAGGTAGCGATGAGAAGTGAGTGGGTGGTGAGAATGGGACCCAGAGGCCCTGACTTTCTTCTGGGTTTGTACTACTTGAGAGAGAACAAGTAGAGAGCTATTCTTAGCTTTCAATGAATTGTACCAGAGATTGTGAGGCTTGGGTATTAAAATTAACTCTGCCTTTCTTCTTGTGGCTCTCAAAGTCATTTTCCACCTCTGAGTTTCAGTTTATTCAGGTGTAGCCAGAGATTCTTGACTCTGTGTGTATGTGTATGTGTGTACATATACATGCGTGAATATCATGAACTCATTTGGCACTCTGATGAAGCCTATGGACTCCTTCCCAGAATGTTTTTAAATACATGATAAAATATGTAGTATTACAAAGGAAATAAATTGAAATACAGATATCAACTTCCCCCAGTATTTAAACATTTTTATTTAAAATTTTGAATTCCAAATTCTACCTCCCTCCCCTCCTCCCTCGCTGAGAGAGTAAGCAATCAGATATAGGTTACATAGGCGCAGTTATGCAAAGCATTTCCGTGTTAGTCATTTTGTATAAGAAGACTCCAATCGAAGGAAAAAATGAAAGAAAGTGAAAAATAGCATGCTTCAGTCTATATTCAATCAACATCAGTTCTTTGTTTCATTGTTAGTCCTTTGGGATTGTCTTGAATCATTGTATTGCTGAAAATAGCTGTCATTCACAGTTCTTTATTGAACAATATTGCTGTTACTGTGTACTGTGGTCTCCTGGTTCTTTTCAGTAAATTTCAGTGGGAAGTAAAGAGAGCTTGCCCAAAGTGGAATGTTTCAAGAAGTAGGCCTTGAAACTAGGTGGCAATGTGTTTAGAGTTGATGCTTAGCTGAGAGTCAGAAAGTCCTTCAAATAAGTCCTCAGTCACTTACCAGCAATATGAGCCTAGGCAAATCACTTAACCTCTTTCTGCCTCAGTTTCTTCATCTGTAAAGTGGGAATAATAATAGCACCAACCTCAGATGGTTGTTGTAAAGATAAAATCAGATAATGTAAAGAGTTTTGCAAACCCTAAACTGCTGTTTCCGTTTCATGGTGTGTTGTGGCGGGCACCATCTCAAAGAATTCAGAGTCAGACCACTTCTAATCCAAGTATAGGCATTTATTGAGGATTGACACCCTTCAGAAGGGGGCTAGGTTCAGAGAACTACAGAGGAAGCAAAATGGATCTTTATAGGATAAAGAGGCAATTACATAACAGAAATTGTGAATATTTAAAAAAACAGGAGAGATTTGTCAAGGAATTAGGCAATAGGGAGGGTTTGCTTCTGTAGTTTAGTGGTCAGATATCCTGGTCCTGCCGCCCTCTGATTGGCTAGCTATTGTGGTCCTATCTTGGGCTAAATGGATGATGTGATTGTGGTTGAGTACAAGAACACACCTGTTCAAATACGTGAATTGGATCTAGGGGCAGTGGCTGTATTGAGTCTGGGGGCCTATGGTGTGGTTTAAAGCCAGATTGTATGGTTAAATCAGGACATGCCTGCTGTTCACTGGGGCCCATAAGAAAGTTAGAATATCGGGACTAGGGGCAGCTTTAGGGACCATTATTATAAATGGGTACTTCCTCACTGAAGTCTTTAAGCAGAGGCTGGAAGATCATTTGTTAGAGGTATTATAAATATGTTTATATATTATGAATACTATAAATATAAAAGATTCCTTTTCAGGTATGGAGTGTAGTGGATGACCTTTGAAGTCCCTTCCAACTCTGAGATTTTAGGATTCTCTGATGTTCTCACAAATTGCTTTTTTTCCCCTCTCCCTTGGAGAGGATTGTAGTTTTTCCTTGTCATCTCACTAAATGAAGATCACCTCAGTGTTTGAAAAAAATCACATAATATAAAATGCATGGTTTATTTAGTTTGTTTATATTTAATGACTTTTCCTTAATAGATCTGTCTGAGGAAGAGTTGTTTTTCTTACAGCTATGCTTCTTATGTTAGAGATGCCCAGGGCCCAAAGGACTGTTAGCTTGCTGGTGTCACATTTCTTTTGGTTTAAGTCTTCATCTACCAACTCCCTCACTTGTAAGCATATTTGCCACAAACTAGAACCGACAGCTATGGGTCTTTTACAACAATCTGAAGTGCCACAGCAAGTCCTCTCTAATGTCCTTGTATTCCATAAAGATGTCTCTGTTTCAAGGAGGACTTGTGCTCCTCAGTCTTGAATAAAATAGTTCTCTATGTTTCTCAGTACCAGCAAACAGCTGCCATTTTTTTTATATGAAGAGAAACAAGTGAGCAGTGTCATTTTATGAAGGCCATTTTTGCTACAAATCATCTATTCATTTCCCATATCTTATCCTATAAATATGATGAATAAATAAAACATGGATGTTTGATTTTTGTTATTTCTAGGCTGTGCACCATCTCCAGGAGCTTATGATGTCAGAACTTCAGAAATACCAAAAGGACCAGTATCATTTGAGAAATCACAACGATTTAGACGTGGTCAGGGTAATAATACCTTCCAAAATGAAAGGGACTAGTTACATACTTTTATGCATTTTTTTCACATTTTCCAGTCTTTCTCACTTGTTAATGTTTTTTTTCCCTTCTAAAATTACTTTGTATTTGCTTATCTGTGTACAAGTTGTTTTTCTTTCAGTAGAATTTAAACTCTTTGAGGATGGGGGATGTTCCCTTTTTGCATTTGCATCCCCAGCCCCTGGGATAGTTACTTGAACATAGTGGAACCACTTAATAAGTGTTTGACTAACTGAATAATAACCTAAAGTTTTACAATTTGGAAACTGTATTTTACCGAGATGTCTGGGTATGTCTGAAAACTAGACATTAAAGCTGTAGGCAGTTCTAATGTACAAAATTGAGTGGATTATGAAGGCTTAGATTGCTCTGTATTTAACATTTTATGAATGTAATTAGGTACTAAAACTAGCCTGTAGTCTAACCAGCATATGAATGCAGATGAAATGATTTTACCTTCTCATAGTCACCCTTTTCCCTGACTTTCATTCCTAAAAGATTTAGTCAGGATACAATTAGGAACTATAAATAAGAAGAAAAGATAAACTTTTGATTAAGGATTTTGAATTTTTATTCTGTATCAAAAAGATTGTTAGGCTGCTACTTTGTATTTATATTTTAAATCTAGAATAAATATCTAATATTTAAAATATTTAGAATCCCCCCACTGTTGAGTAATGCATTATCTCTGTTTATATTTAAACTTAAATTTTTATGGCAGCTTCTATGGAAAATCAACAAGGTCTTAACAATGACAAAGATAGGCCCACACCCACAACTGGGAAAAATCTGAAACCTTTGAGATTAAAGGTAAGACACTTTATATGTTAGATACAAACCAAATAAATAATGAAAGACTATCGTTGCCTGACTGAAGTAGCCTGTGAATGCATGAAAATCAAGAAAACAGTGAGAAATATATTCCAGTCTTTTTTTTTTGGTAAAGGCTTTTTGTAAGTTCATAAAATGATTTTCTGTTTAAGGCCATCAGTACAAGTTCTGTTCCAGCTAAGGTCACGTGTCTCTTGTTAAGATGTGCTTATTAATTCCAAATGGTCTCAGTCTTCAGTTGTTTTTATGCAGTGATTGAGATTTCACAATTCTTGCTGTTCCTTTAAAAATTGTGGGGTGGTGGTAACAATATTTGTATTCTAAAACTGTAGTTATGAGAGCCTGTGTGTGTTTCGATCTATGTACATATATGTGTATCTGATATGGAGAGAAGGAATAGGTGGTATGTCCATACATGGAACAGGATCTAGTTTAAAGTATATAGTGAAAGTCTAATCTTCTGCTTATCACTAATGAGGTATAAGGAATAGAGGATGCTTAATGTAAGTTCTGTAGTTATTTGTACATGCAAGATGTTTAGCTCTTACTGAGGAACACAATATGACAGTGGAAAAAGTGCTGGACTTTGAGTCTTTTTCAGATCCTGCCTCATCTACTTGGTGTTGAGGGTTGTAGGGATGGCAGGCCTCTTCTTTCGAGATTGCTCCCCAGGAAGATGATTATAGGGGTAAGCTGGAAGCAGAGCCTGTAGCCTGGGGAATATGGCTATTCTAGGGCATTTGATGGGAACTTCTTCCACCATTTCCATGGAAATCTTAGGGAAGTGGAGGTGGAGGTGGTTTGGCCCACCTGGCATGTAATAGCCCCTTGTAATCCTCAGGGTAAAGCTTGCTGCTTCATTTAGGTTAGCTTCTCTGTGCTTGCGGTAGCATTTGGTGGTAGCCCCCTTTCTATGGATGTTGCGCCTTTGGATTATAGAACATTGATACAGAAGTCTACAGTGTAGAAAAACTGATTTAAAGAATCTTTAGTTCCTGGAATATATTTTGTAAAAGTAAAGAAAGTGTTGATCCATATTCCAAACTGAACCTATTGCTTGACTAAAGACTAGTCTTTAACCATCTTAATGCAAGTATTACTAAGAACTCTAAACCCCCTAAGTAGTGTCTTTTGTGAAATCAAAAGGTTACTGGTAATAGAGAAAGCAAGTCTTGATACTTTTTCTTCCATTTCTGGACAGGTAACCTAGGAACAATTATGATTAGGTAAGATATTAGGAATCAATGTTGTCGTTTACCATAATTTAGAGTAGAAAAAAGGACCTTTGGTTCATGCTTGAGTTGTTTTACATTCTGTTCATGTCCTTCTCTAGATTGGCCTTAATTTAGTCTCTTTGCATACAATTTATTGTTGCTTGATATATTTTTTTTCTTTAATGGCAGATTCTATCTCATTCTCAAAATGTGTTACCACCCTGAGTTTCCTAATTAAGAACATCCTTTATTCATAGGGTTCTACATTTTAGAAAACAGGTTGTAATCCCTCTGCACTAGAAGCTTAAAACCCTGAATTTTCGTAAGGAATTCCACTTGTAGGCTTTCTTGGTATAGGGAAATTTTCACCTCCAGCACAAACCTGTTCTAGAATACTCTTCTGTCTTTCATTTATTGTCTTTCTTCCAGTTTCATCCTTAAGTATCCTTGGAAATACTTTGCTTAGTTGGAGTTCTCACCAAATTGCACTGTTGCTTCTCACTTCTGATTTTACAATGAATAATTTTTTAACTCCTTTCAGATTTATAGTTTTATTTAAATATTTATATTATGTTGATTTTTGATTTTACAAGTCAGTGATCTGGTCTATTCAAGTTGATTTAGGAATGATTCATAACAGTAATGAGTCTTTTCCTGTATGTTAAAATCAATGTCATTACTTTATGTTATTTGTTACTCACTATGTCCAGTGCATTCTATTTTTTCCCCCACATTTATTCTTTATTCCTGAACCATATTCTCCAGTGTATTTCTTTTGGCCATAGACCTTTGCATTGAAGACACCCATTATCAAGTATATATTGATCAAATTTGGAGATTCTTACCTAGTTATATGTTGAATTCCTCTACCTCTTCATACTTTGTAAAACATGTAGCCACATAAACGGCAAATGTTTTCATAGTAGTGTTTTTATAAATATTTAACATGAGCACTTAAATGCAAGATAACCAAATGCACATGAAATTATGTTTGGACATCTAATGAAACCAGCTCTACCAACGTCTTTACTTGCCATTCTAAAGTGAATCTGTGAACCATCTCCTTCCATGTAGCTGCAGTTGTATCTTCTGGTTTCACTTATGGCAAGAAAGTCAAGATCGAGAGGATTCCATTCCTCCAGGAATGTATCTACTCACTGACTATTGAACATAAATCTTACATTTAGAATACCAACAGCTAAGCTGTTATAAAAAGTCTCTGAACAGTATACTTCTTAGCTTCTCAATCTTCTGTTCTGCCCCTGGCACTGTTGAAATGAGAAGGGGCAGCGCAGGACTAAAGGTCCTTTTGAAGTTTTCTTTTTTTCTTGGGTCATGGTGACCAAAGAATTCATTACCTGGCCAGCCGCCTGATGATGAGCTGGATTGCTGCCCCTCAGAATGCAGGCACAGGCTGTCACTGGCATCCTCTGCAAAGTCTTGTGAAAGCTTGTGCTTCTGTAGCTTTGCTGACACAGCTTTGAAGAACCCAGGCTTACCTCTGTCATGGTGGAGCACAATGAGTTCCATAGGTACAAAATAAGTCCGTAAAGTCAATTTGTCATAGATTTTTAGCCTCATAAATTATGCTTACTATTTATTGCATCTTTTGATATTTTAATAGACAGAATCTCAAAGGGATATTAAAGAGCTGAAAAAGCTGAAGATGCAGGAGAAAGAGGTAAGAAAAATATATTTTCAGTTCTTTAAATGTAAAATAAAGTCTATTTGAAAAATAGATTTTTATTAATATCTTTTGCTTTTTACATTACCTGGATTTTCTCCTGTATTCTTTCCCTTCCCATTCCAGAACAAGACTGGAAAGGAATGTATAGAAGAGGGAGAGGGCAGGGTAGAAACAAGTTATGAAGGGTTTTGAATACCAAATAAAGGATTTTATATTTGATCCCGGAGGAGCCATTGGAGTTTATTGGGGAGTGGGGGGAGGGAGAAGAGGAGAAGAGATACATGGTCAGAAATGCACTTTAGGAAGATCACTTTGACATCTGAGTAGAGGATAGACTTGGGTACAGAGAGACTTATGTTAGGGGGATACCAGCAAGCTATTGCAATAGTCCAGGCATGAGGTGATGAGAACCTGTACCAGGATGGTAGCAGTGTCAGAGGAAAGAAGGGGGTATTTTTGAAAGATGTTACAAAGGTAAAATCAGCAGGCCTTGACAATAGTGTCGATGAGGCAGGTAAGAGAAATTGAGGAATAGAGGATGACACCTAATTTGTGAGCCTGGGTGACTGGATGGATAGTGGTATCCTCAAGAATCATAAGGAAATTGAGAAGAGTGGAGGACTTGAGGGAAAAAGATAACAACTTCATTTTTGTACATGCTGAGTGTCTATGGGTATCTATGGGATGTCCAGTTTAGATATCCAGTAGGCAGTTGGAGGTGTGAGACTGGAGGTCAGCACAAGAGGTTAGGGCTGGATAAGTAGACTTATGAATTATCAGCAGAGAGAGATGGTAACTGAATCCATGAGAGCTAGTGAGATCACCAAGTAAAATAGGATAAAAAGAGAAGAAAGCCCATGACAGAACTCTCTGGATCACTCAAGATTAGTGGGCATTACCTGGATGAAAATCTAACAAAGGGAACTGAGAGTGGTCAGATAGGTAGAAGGAGAACCAGGAAAGAGTGTCACAAACACCTACAAGAAAATATCAAGGAGAAGGTGATTGAAACTACAGAGAGGTCAAGAAGGATGAAGACTGAGAAAAGACCGTTAGATTTGGCAGTTAAGAGATCATTGGTAACTTTGGAGAGAGCAGTTTTAGTTTAATTATGAGGTCAGTAGCCGAACTGCATATAGAATTAAGGAGAGAGTAAGAGGGAAGGAGATAGAGGTACCTATTGTAGACAACCTTTGAGGATAGGGGAGACACGAACATGTTTATAGTTAGTAGGGAAGTAGCTAGTAGACAGGGAGAGATGGAAGATTAGTGAGAGAGTGGGAATGATAGAGTGGGCAGTCTACTGGAGAATATGGGATGGAGCATCATGTAGAGGTCTTTGCCTTAACAAGAAGGGCTATGTCACATTGGACAGGCTTTATAATTGCAAAGGGCCTCTGTATTGTATAAGATATGGACTCTTTGTATCTAAGTATTAACACAATATCTTTTCCATAGTAACTACTCAGTAAATGTTTATGATGTAGCTATTGTTTCAGTGACTACTGATAAAATACCATATGTATTTAAGAAGTTGACATCAATGACAGCCCTAAAGTTAAAGAAAATAATTTTCATGAGATGTATTGATTCAAAAATACTTTTGTAGGCTCTTAGGTGTTTGAAAGCTTATGGTTGAACTTTAAGAATAACAGCATAGCAATTATTAGTATGAGAGCTTTTTGCATGATCTTATGTGTAAGAAAATTTTTTAAGAATATTGGAGTAGGTGGTGTCATATAATAAAAAATAAAACCTGAATTAGACACTGGAATACCTGCGTTCCAATTCCATTTGAGCTACTATCTGTATGACCTTGAAGTTATTTCTCCTCTGGTAGTATTTACTTAAAATTATCTCTTAAGATCCCTTCCAGCCAAAACAGTCTATGTACATAAATATGTGGGTATTGAAACTGCTTAATTGCATCTAGAAGTGAGACCTTGAATTCTAATAAATTCTCCTATAAGATTACTTTAATTGTTAAGTCCTATTGGGGGGAAAATGTTGATTCTGATTTGTTCAAATTGCTGAAAATAACTTTGTAATAGGTAAGATACATCTAAAAAGAATATATGTGTGGGAAGTTAGTACTAGTTGATTGAAATAGGTAGAATTTAGATTTTATTGGTTATGAAATTCAGTTTATGTCCACTGTATATATGGAACTTATTTTTCAATTATTCGATTCTAGATACGTGCCCTGGTGCAAGAACGTGCAATACAGGATAAACATCTTCAAGATTTGGAAGCAGAGTTTGAAAAGATGGAAGCAAGGCTAAACATAGCAGTCAGAGAGAAAACATCTCTCTCAGCAAATATTGCATCTTTGGAAAAGCAGCTTATTGAATTAACTAGAGCTAATGAACTACTAAAAACAAAGGTATTTAGGCCTTACATTTAAGTTCAAATTATTTTTGTCTATGTCAACAATGTTAGTTGCAAAATCTTAGTACTAAGATTAGTCAAGTATAAAAGCTGCTCTAGTAGTAGTCACTTTTCTTATTTTTATTTGTTTAAAAATAGAGATTTTAAATAAGTTTATTGGATATTTGCATTAGCTTAGGAATATCCATGCTTTACAAATGAAAAAATGTATTTATGTACCTTGGAAGATTTGGGTTTTATAAATGCTAGGAAAAAAACATTTTTAATGGTTACACTGGCACATGTATTGTAACCTGTAAGACACATTGTGGCAACCATTATTAGTAGTTCCTTCCTCTAAAACCCACGTCCCCCAACTTAAATAAGGATGACTATGAAGACTGTAAGGATTTCGGATCAAAACATAATTGGTCTGTTATTTGTTGAGCAGCTACTGTGTGGAAGACATTGCTAGGCAGGCAGTGTGCTTTGAAATTAATACACATGCTCATTTTTAAGATTATAATTTATATCCTAATTTTGCTTTTTTTTCTTTTTGAGTAGGTAATGCTATTTATTTCTTAAGCGTGCATAAATAAAGTATGTGATAATTTTAATTTATATAGCACTTTAGAGTTTACAGACTGTTTATGATATGTTAATTCATTTGGTCCTCACACCAACTCTGTCAGTTAAGTGCTATTATTACCTTCATTTTATAAGTGAGGAAACTGAGACACATCGATGTTAAGTGATCGGCCCAGTTGATAAGTGTCTGAAGCAGAATGGGAACTGAGCTTTTCTGGACTTCAGGGCTCACACTCTATCCATTGTGTCACCTAACTACCTCACTATCATAATAGTTCCTTGCTTAATGTATACATCCATTTGTCCTTCAAATAGTTTTGTTCTGGGATATATCAGTCTTTATCTGGTCAGCGTCCCAGGTGCCTTTCTTCAGCTTGGGAGACCTTCCTGGGAGGGAGTAGCATGGTAGTCAGGTACCTTCCTTCATGCCCTGGCCATTCTTAGACTTAAGGGAAATTTAAAAACAGCACCTCTTGGAGCAGAGAGAGCCTGATCATTACAGCCTCCTTATTTTACAGATGAGGAAACTAAGGCCCAAAGTGCCTAAATGAATGGTCCAACTTTACCAGACTGGTTGGGGACAGAGCTAGATGGTGGACCCATCTTTAGTTCTTTTCTGTTTTACCAGATTTTGACAAAAAATTACATTTCTTCTTCTCCTTTTTCTCCTTTTGAGTGTGTTACTAATAAAAGTATTTGTTTCCTCTTCTTACTGTGAAATTTTAAAAATATTTTTCTTGTTAAAAAGCTACTGATTGATTTTTTTTCCCCTTCTGCTACTGATTCCACATGGGCCAGTGTGCAAAAAGAAGGAGAATTACCTATTTATGGTTACAAGAGACAATTATAGTTACAGGGATCATATGCCATTACTGAGTAAGTGTGATAGCAAAAAGCAATTTAAGGAGTTTACTAAAATGATTTTGAAAAGCTCTGTTCATGTTTTAATATTTTTGAAAACTGTTAACAGAGTCAATAAACCCTTTCCTATAAAAATGCTTATAGATAGAGGAAGGTGAAGATTTGGGCTACAGCTCTCTTCTGTTTGGATTTTGGAACTAAAAATATTTATATCCCAAGTTTGTATAATATAATCTCTGATTAGTTGGAACCAAGCAAAAATCACTTTAGTTTGTCTATATGTCTTAGAATCCTCATTTTCTATATTAGGCTATGCAAATTAGAGGTTGGATTTTAGGTACCCCAAGAGGGTTATTGTATAAAGAAGAATTCTAAGAATTTCTTAAAATCATCTTTTATTGAATGATCTCAATACTACTCCACTAAACCTTGATCCAGGTTGGCTTTTCTTTTACATGCGTGTTTAGAGCTGAAGTGGGTATTTGGAATCGATTATGATTTAAGGAGGCAAACAGGGCTGATCTGGATTTTAAACAGAAGAAGCCATAGCACAGGGTTAGCCATTGCCTAAGCAGCCTCTCACCAACACACCAAGATGTTTAGTAGTACACGGGACAGACTAAGGAAAGGATGCGGCAGCCTGTACAGTCAGTAATGGAGTGTTGGCAACATTCCTGACATTTATAACAGCGGCTTACCGTCCCTATTGCGGTGTAGTGGAGAAGTGTCCACCCTGACCATAATGAGGTGGGCAAGAAACTGCCATGTGACATTTAATTATTCTTTGTAGCTGAAATGCTTCTGAATGTTTAAATTGTTTTTAGTTTTCTGAAGATGGCAACCAAAAGAAAATGAGTTATCTAAGCTTAGAGTTAATGAAACTGAAGAATAAGATTGAAGCAAAGAAGAAGGTGAGTATTGTCTTCAGGCCTGTCCTGTTAAGAGCATGAGAGCTTTTTCCTATTACTGACTGCCATTTTATTGTTTAGAATGTTCATGAACAAGAAGGGATGGAAATCAAACTGCGTATGGCACAAAAGACCCTTCATGATTCTCAAGAAAGCCTGGCACAACTTGAGGAAAAACTGTAAGCTGATAAAATAGAATCTGAAGGCTTTGTCTCTTATGATTGCATAATGTGCCTGTCTAGCATAATGGGCAAAATTAATTTAAATGAAAGCCTCCATTGGACTGTTTTTCACTATTTCTCTACATGTTGATGGGACTGTTGTCAGTATTTCCCAGACTCACTACTTTCCACTGGAATACTTTTCCACTCTGTTGATTTGTAAACTTATAGATGGAATGGTTTCACTACTGTTAAGATCCATCTAGAAGGTTCAGATTTTGCTGGAACCAGTTTGATGACCTTATGAATAGCAGTTCTGACTCTTATAGATGCATAACTTACTCCAGAGGTTCTGAATTTAAACGGTTCAAAAGGTTATCCATTGGTCTTAGATCATAGCCTGACAATTTATGTAATTTTAGAAAATCTTTAATTTAAAGCAAAACTTTAAGTTGGCCGTAATTTTTATTCAGACTATATTAAAATAGCCTGTATCCCACTATTTTTTTGTAGTGTTACTACAGAAAAAGAAACGATTGAAGAAAAATTAGAAATAGAAAATCTCTTGGAATATATTACAGAAGTCAGGTAATGTAAATGTCTTCTCAAGTGTTTCTTATTTGGGAAAATATGAAATAATATCTAATCAAACTTGTATTTCTTCTAAATTTGTTTTAATGAAGCTCTACATCAGATCAAGTGGAGAAATATAAATTGGATATTGTCCAATTGGAAGAGACTTTGAATCAGAAGAATCAAGAGATTTTGATCCTTAAGCAGTCTCTGGATGAAAATATGGATGTATTATCTAAAAAAATTAAAGACTTGAACAATAGATGTCAGATTCTTGAAAAGCAAAAAGGTACAGTCAGTTATTCACAGAAATGATAACTTAAAATTGTCAAAAAAAAAGAAAGGAAGGAAAAAATAATACATAAAGCTACAATACTACTTAAACTAACTGCAAAGCTGAATGATCAATGAAGTAAAATAAATATATCTTACAGGTTCTTTTTTGAAACCTTTAAGCCTCTAATAATGTTAATTCTCTGCTGGTAGTAATGGCATAAATGGCTTGAATGCAATTCATTAAAACTGCTTAAAAACATACAATTCTTGATTTTCTGGTGGGGTGCTAAGTAAAAAACTAGATTTTTAGTCTATTCATTACAGCATTTTTCAAGCCCGTGAAATGTTATAATTATACATATATATATATATATATATAAGAGTATATATATACACACACATACCATATATACTTATATATACTATACATAACTATATTACATTACTGTAATGTAATGTATCATTAATTGAATTTCACTTTTTCTGACTTTGGTCATTTATTCTTGGCATTAATATCTGTAGGAGGACCCCTTTCAGTATTTTAAAGAAGTTTTTAAAAAAAAAACCTTCTGTTAAGAATTTTAATGTATAATATGATATTTGTCAATATTAAGTAATTTTTTCCAGAATATTTTGTCATTTTAATTAGTACTAGAGTTGCATTTCTTTTCAATTACTGAATTATGCAGACTTTTTTACTTCTCCCCTATTTGGTCTGAACCAGTAAAAATTTACTATGATAATTGTTTCTGAAGACGAATGGATAATGTAGTTCATGAAGAAACAGGTCAGATAATTCAGATATTTAAAGCAGTTGGATTTTTAAAAAATAAACACATATGTTTAAACAGTAAAGAGAGATCAATGGACTATTAATGTGACACTGTATTCCTTCAAGTATAATGCTTTATATAGTTAAAATGTTTTAGAAATGTCTTTTTATAGGGGAACTTGTCAGGCAAGACGAAGAACGGGAACAAAATCTCAATGCTGAGATACTAAGTTTGAAAGAAAGATTAACTCTAGAAAAACAAGAAAATGAAAAGCTGGAACAAAAGCAGACAGAAACTGATTTACGTCTGCAACAAGAGCAGGTAAGCTCTTGCTTGTTCTCCAAGATGAATGCATATAGCTCTATTAATTCTTAAACTTAGTGTTTATGTTGCTTGATTCTACCTTGACATGTATCTCTCAGTTTTGGTTTACTAATATATAAGAATAATTTGAGATGATGTTGTTTGGTCATAGGAGTTATCTTCTAGCCTTAACCAGAAGCTTTGTTTATATCAAGAGGAGTTAATTAATGAGAAAAATCTTTTTCAAGAAGAATTAAAAGAAGCATTGAGTGAGCTAGATAAATTGCAACAAAAGGATGAGCAGGCTAAAAGGCTGGTGAAGCAGCTGGAACAAGAGAATACATCCAGAGCTAGAGAGCTGCAACTCTTGGAAGAAAAGCTTAAAGGGTTTGTAAACGCTTTAGTTTAATTTTAAAGTTGAAATTAAAAATAAAATAAATATTAATTCTATGTCTTGATCCTTTTGCTTTACAAATTTTAACTGTGATCTCTTGAGAAAGAGGCAAGTTCTAAGGTTATTTGGTTTCTTGAATAATTTGTATAGAAAGAACACAGGCCTGGGAGTTGGAATACCTGAGCTTTAGTCCTATATCTGCTGCTCACTAGCCTAGGCATCTCAAATCACTTGACCTAACTGGGCTGAAGTTGCTTCATCTGTAAAATGAGAGGCTTGGACTAACTGATTTCCAAGGTCCCTTCTGGTTCTAAAAGTATCGAATTGATGGGAGGATCAGGTTGTAGGTTGTTAATGTCTTTGTTTTCTTATGTTCTTCAAACACATTTTGTAATTGAAATGTCTTCTACTGTAATTTTATTTTAGCTCTGTCTAGTTTGCCAAATGATTTTTGTTTAAATAGTGAGTATATTTTCAAACTTAAAAACTTTTCTGTTTTGGTATTGTCCATTCTTAGTATTTTAAGAAGCATGTGAAACTTTTTTTCAAAAGGCAGATTTTTAAAAGTTTTTCATCCCATTCTTGGTTTTATAGCTATTTTTTTCTTTAAGTCCTTGAATAATAACAATGCCTAAGAAAAGTTACTCTTATAATGACGCCAAATAACCTTGTAATAGTTTGAGAGAAACGTTTTCAGTGAAACATCTTTAAGCCAAGTGTTTCTTTTTTGTCACTCTCAGTCTCCTGCATAATTGAGCCCTAGTGATTGTTCTTGAGTGTCTCTCTTTGGCAAAAAACAAGTGTAATTTTTTACCTCTCCCCCTCTCCCACCCAGGAAACAGGATGAAATTGAGAAAAGCAAGGAAGCATACAGTCAGGCCTCTCTGCACTGGCAGGAAAAGTACAACGATACACTGCAAAGTCTTAAAGAAGTCATGGCTGAATTTGAAAGGTATGTTGTCCACCACCTAGTTCCTATGATGCACCTTATGGAAAACCTTATGGAAACATAGTGTTGAAAGTTGAACACTGGAGGAGTGACCTCCCAACTAATATTAACTTTAGGATATTTGAATTTTTAGTTGTCTCAGCATACAATTGTTTTACAATCCTTCCCCTTCTCTATCTTATGTGCATTAAATAGATTTTGAACTATGGAAGCTGGTGGGATAATAGCTTGTCAATGTACAGTGGTTAAAAGGAGTACCTTGGTGTTTTGTTTTTGTTTTGTTTGGTAAAGCCATAAAGGATCAGTGACTGAAGAAATGGTGGATCTTAGGTATGAGAATTCGTCACTACGGAAAAAAGCTTCTGAGGCAGAAAAAACAATTGAGCTTGTTCAGCTGCAAATGTTGGAGGTTCAGCATGCTAAAAATAAAAAGGATGAAGAATATGCCAGGTAGGGCCACCTACACACTTAATTACCATAGGGAGGAAATGCTAAGTACCATACTTACATAAGCCTTATTACATTTCATTAGTATTTCAAGACAGCTATAATATCATTGATGCTGTTCACCTATTTGGATTGAAACTCCTTCATGTCTTACTAGATGGCTTCAATAATTTCCATGATGAACCCAGAACTCTACTAGAATAGTAGAATCCATGTTTCTTTCTTCATAAGAGAGGCATTAGGCAAGATTTAATTAGGGACTTTTGTTGTTATAAATCAGTTCGTTCAGGCAGTGAATTGCTGTACATGCTATTTGGTAGGTATAAGATTTTATTTTGCTTTCGTGAATTTTAACATTCAATTTTTATAGTAGTTAAAATCATGGATATGCAACTTTCAGTTTCACGTGAAGGACTAGAATATTTATTTGATTTTATATCTGCCTCAAATCTAAGGTTGCTTTTAGACATGCAGAATAAATTGGCACTTAAAGAAGAAGAAATAAAAGAAACAACAGCTTCTTCTCTAGAACAGATATCTGATTTACAGAACAGATGCAAGCAACAAAGTGAAGACTTTAAGAGACAAGCTGAGATGGAAGAAACAAGGTAATACCTTGCAACGCTTCTATTTCTCAAATTAGAACTATGTTACTTATTGTTATTTAGTCTTTTTTCCTCTCATTTAGCAAAACTGGAGAAATGAATATGGAATTAACACAAGAAGTGAAAAAATGGCGTCTCCTTTATGAAGAACTTTATAACAAAACAAAGCCTTTTCAGGTTTGTCCACTATAAATTTAAACAATTACTTTTGATTGCCTTAGAAATATTTAATGCCAGTTAACTTAGAACTGACCTGAGCTCTCCCGAAGAAGATTCGATACCTGTCATAATGTGAAGTCTGTTCTCTAATGTGACTTCTTATTAAAAGAAGTATACATGATACTGTCATGCTTAAATCTTTTAAATTAGCCTTGCTAATTTTTATCTTTTAAAAAAATTGGTTTAGTTTCTGTTTGTCATTTAAAGGTATTTGTTTTGGCCTAAGAATAGAGAAAACTGAACCTATAAGAACTCAGTAACTGTGCTTATATTTTTAGCATTATCATGATATAAGATGTGCTGGAATAATATGTTAACATTTAATTTCTAAGGTTTAGCTGAATATGTGTACATGTGAACTTGAAAATTCTGACCTTTAAATTTTTCTCTGAAAATCTTTTTTAGGAACAATTGGATGCATTTGAAGCAGAAAAGAGCGCTTTATTGACTGAACATGGCACAACACAGGAAGAACTGAATAAACTAAGTGAATCCTATGCTAAGTTATTGGGGCATCAGAATCAAAAGCAAAAAATTAGACACGTCATGAAATTAAAGGAAGAAAATAACCAGCTCAGATTGGTTTGTCAGTTTAACATTTCATTCTTGCTTTCATTCACAAGAGTAACAAGACTCTCCCACAGAGCAAATTCATTCCCCAGTTTTTGAAAACAGAATTACAGAAATTTAAATGGAATCATAGACTATTAGAACTGGAAGTAACTTCATAGGCCACGTCCCTTACCCTTGTCATAAATCCCCACCTCAGCGTGTTCCATCATAGTCATGCAGCTAATATATAAATACCTCTGCAGATCATTCCATTTCTGGACAGTTTCAATTGTTAGGAAGTTTTAAGTTTAGTTCAAATCTGCTTCAAAGTAACTCACTCACTGCTTTTCGTTTTGCTGTCTGGGTCCAAACAAATAAGTTCTAATATTTCATCCACATAATAATTCTTTAAATTTTGGAAGGGTGCTAAAGTTCCCTTCTATCACCTCCACCCCTCACATCTCTCAGATTTTTTCTTCTCCAGGTTAAATATCCCCAGTTCATTCCATGAACTTTTTTAGCATGATTTCCTTTTCCTTCCCCTCTTCCTCCTCTTCTTACTGTACTCTAGCTTTTCACTGTCCTTTCTAAAATATGGTATCCCAAACTGAAAAAAAGTACTGCAGGTATAGCTTGTCTGATCATATCACAGTAGAGAAAGAATATAATCTCCTTCATCAGACATTGGTTCTGTTAATGCAGCCTAAGATTTCATTAGGTTTGCAGGTTCATCATCGTCAAACTATTGACATGTTGCGTATGATGTCCACCAGAACTTCTAAGTCTTTTCATGGAGACTTATTTTTTGATATTACACCATAGCCTTTACTTGTGCAGGCTTTTTTTTTTCTCTAAAGCTGAAATGCAGAAATTTTACATCCATTTTTATGACCTTTCATCTTGTTGGCTTCAGCTTACCTCTCCTGCCTATTAACCTTTTTGTTTTCCAATTCTTTCATCTAGTTTATTAGCTATCCCACTTACAGTGTTGTGTCATTTTCAGATGTGATAAGAATACCATCCATGCTTTTAGCCAAGTCACTGTCAAAAATTTAGAACAGAACAGGGTCCAAAACAACTGTATAGCATTTTATTTCAGATTAATATCTATCCAATAGTAGATAGATCCATCCAGTCAGACAGTCTTATACCCTCCTAAATGTATTATCATTCAGCCTACATCTTTCCAGTTTGTCTACAAGGATGTCATGAGACACTGGATTTCAGAAAGACATTTAGCATGTATACTTGAAAGAAAGGGAATGTAGTAGTAGAACGAACATTGGACATAATGTTGGAAAACCTGGGTTTAAATCCCAGCTTTGATACTTTTTACCTGTGCATTTACTATTAAGTCACTAAACCCTTAGAATCTTAATTTCCTCTTCACTAAAATGAAGGAATTGTGGACCCTTCCAGCTCTAAATTTTGTGAAGTGTGTGTGTGTGTGTGTGGCTGCGCGCGTGTGTTCGTGTTCATATTTTTCCCATGGTGGCCCTCCTATCCAAAAAGGAAATGAGGTTAGTCTGAATGACTCTTAGTGATCACCTTACCATAGTTTTAAATAACCTGTTTTAGTATTTTACCAGCAATTGAATTCATCCTTGCCACCACATCGATGCAAGTGTCTGTTTTCTCCATTTTATAACTTGGGTATCTTTCCATTTCCATTCTCTTACTTCAGTCCTCAGAAGTCACCGGCAGTGGTGTAGCTGTCACACTAGCAGAGTTTTTGAGTACTCCCTGACATAGTTTATCCAGCCAGCTCTTTGACCTGACTTCAGTGAGAACACAGTGAGGAAGTTCCTCTCTTAACTTGACTTGGATTTCAATTTACTTTTTAACTATTTCGTTCTATTGGAAAACATCCTCATTAGCAAAATAAACAAATGCAGGGATCACATCCTGAAATGTTCAGTGTTTCAGATTACCGTGACATTTTTACGGTAGAAGAGCTTTATCTAACTGTATGAGGGAACACTAGGCAAGATGTCATAAATATTTCTATTTGCATAGGAAAGCCTTTAATGTGACTTATATGATAATTGGCGAGCGGAGTAAGGAAAACATTTCTATTCTGAGATCACCTCCTTTTAGGATCATAGGATTTGGATTTGCGAGGGGTCTTAGAGATCATCTTGCCTACACCATTTTTTTTCCTTTTCATTTTATAGTTGAGAAAACTAAAGTGAAGGTAAGTGACTTACTCAAGGTCTTACTAGTAAGTCAGTATGGCCAAAGCTGAGACTCAGATCTGACTCCAGATATTTAAGTGACCATCCTGAAAATCATCTGTCTCAATTTAGTTACAGCTAGGCCAAAAGAAAAATAAAGACGCTTCCAGAGTAATTCATAATTTATCATCAGTCTTAAATATTTTGAATGCAACAATGATCTGAAATCTGTTTTTAATGCATCCTTTAAAATGGGGGTTCTTAACTTTTTTGTATGTATCACGGACCCCTGTGGCAGTCTAGTGACACTTTTGGACTCCTCAGAATGTTTTTAAATAATTGAAGGAATGTTAATTTCTAGCTAGAGTAAAAATGTATATTTTCATTAAAATTGATTTTAGTGATAATAAAGAGGTAATTTCTTCCCCTGTCTATGTTCACAGATACCTTGGAGTCTTTCTGTCTCAAGTTAAGAACCTATGCCTCAGAAACTTTGTACATTATTGGCAAGTGATATTTATAGCACATCTTTATTGCAAAATAAAAATTACTGGTTATTTACTTTTTCTTTATTTAGGAGGTTTCTAAACTCCGTTCTCAGCTGGCTAAGGAAAAACAAGCTGGGAAAAGGCTTCAGAAGCAAGTGAATGAAGCAAAAGGTTTTAAGAGGTTTGATCCTTCTAAAGCTTTTCAGCACGAGAGTAAAGAAAACTTTACTCCCAAAGTGCCTTTGAAAGAAGGTAAGAAAAGGTCAGTTTTGCTTGGCTTAACTCAGAAGTAGTACCTGCTGAATAAAAAGGATGCTCCTTGTTGTGGGCACAAGCCTGCCAGAAAGAATTTTATGAATTAAATTGTTATAGCTATTGCTGCGTAGAGACAAAGGTCCAAAAATGGGCAGAACTTCCCCTTGTCTTTGAAAGATTCTCTAACATAAACTTTTGGGGAGTTATCATTTATGATATTCTCAAACAATAAACAAAAATGCCACAGTCAGGATTGAGAAAGGGCTCAGAGTTTAGGTAACAGTCTCAGAATGATATCCTAAAATCATTTTAATCGTTCTTCAAGTAGTCCATTCAAAGGTTCTCCTTTGCACTTCATAAAAGGAGAACTCAGGATATTTTTATTAAATGAAGTAGTCAAAGACTTAATTTGATCATTCCCCAATTGGGCATTGAGAATGAAGGAACTGCTCCCAGGTGGATCAAAAGTCTCTTTGCCCTTGTCTGTCCATCTCTTTAATTCGGTCATCAGAGAGAACAGAATTCTTCCATGAACTCCTACTCATTTTCCTCAAAGTTTAGTGCAGAGCATTGTTTTGGAATAGATTATAAAGAATGACCAATGATTGTTTCCCAGATGACAATAATGACTTCAGTATAAAGTATTGTCTTAATATTATTTTGTAAGCTGAAACTTAAAAGGGGGGGGTTGGGCCATTTTCTTATGTTGTCACTCCATATGTATGAAGAGAGATTAAAAAAGTTCCTTTTTATTCTGAGTAAAGGTGAGGTTTTTCAGTATTGTTAATCCTTTTTTTTTTGTATACTTATCAGTGAAAAGTATTCTGTAGGGAACACTTTGCATTCCAGTTGACTTAGAGAAGAAAGGAGCCATATTGAGAATGCTTTACAGATTCACTGATTTAGAAAACAGACAAAATTCTAGTAAGCCCTAGGAATAATATACTTTGTTAATTAGTTATAAAGACTGAGAAACTAATTATAATAATTATAGTATAAACCCATACTTTTTGTATGCTGATATATTTGCTAATGATTCTTCTAGGTAACAGAAAATGCTGCTGAGATCCTATGGAGTTTCTAGAATCATGAGAGAAGACATCACAGATAATCTATAAGAACTATTTATAATTTATTGGTTTTTGGAATATTCTCAAATTTCTGAGATTTTAATGATGCTGATGATTTAATAATTCACCTATATTTAGCTCTATGAAAAGTATCCAGTATTCCATCAATCTTGACTCTTTACATCCAGAGATAATGTCCCATTTTAGTTTTCTTTAACCTTTCCATGCCCCTTTCCATTCATACTCTCTCTGCTGTAGTACAGTAGTCTCTACAGTTGATTTCCATGCTTCAGTTCTCTTTTTCTGCTTTGAATTTTTTCTGCGTACTTCCATCAGATTAGTCTTCCTCTAAAAAAGTTATTGGCATTATGTATTCTCCCAGCAAAATCTGCTGCATTGTTATTGCACTTTTGTTAGTAACCAAAAGGGGAAAAAGGGACAAAAATTACAATACTGAATTTATTATCTTGTGTGATTGCATTTAGACTGAACTACTACATTAGGGCTACATTGCAACATTTTGAATAAAAGCTCGGTATGAGTTTGAGAATTTTAAAATAAGGAGACTTAGTCATTTTCACCTATCCCTTTCAGTTCCTACATTTGTAGCACATGCATCTCCAAATGAGTGATTATTTGATAATCTAGTATCCTTTCCAAAGAGGAGGATGAAGAAGAAAGTCCATTCAAAAGATTTACCCATCCAAAAGTGACGACTTAGAGGATATTCTTTCCAGCTATCTAGAGACTGGTGGTATGTGCTATGGTCATTCACTTCTGTGTTCAAATTGGAATGATGGCATAGCAGTTCTCATATAAAGTGCCACATTTTTCCCTTTTGTATGGGAAAAGTTACATCTCTGATGTGTGTTAAAAATGCTTTCTCCTTGGAGGAGGGTGGAGGGTAGGAGAAGGTCATCCAGCACTGATTGGGAGCAAGGTATTATCTACGAACTTCCAGATCTATACTTTGGGAACTTTGGGTGCAGTAATTGAGAATCATGAGGACAGAAGATCTGCATGCTTCCTCATTTCCTCAAGGTTGGCTAACAAGATGTGTACAGTTTTATCTGATTTTCTAGTGGTTATAGGGCCATTTTGGCCCCAGATGGATGTTCCTCTATAAAACTGTAATTAAAGAAACTTCTAGGGCTAGTTTCAAGCTTGAAAGCCAAAGAATGCAAGAAGAAATTAAAACTAGTTAGATGTTCTAGGTATTAGTCAATTAATCCATGCATACCTTTTCCTAGGGAGTTCTGCCCTGAATGTTTGTCCAGTGCCAGAAGAATAGCCTTGGGTTTCCAATAAGAATCTGAGACCTCAGATAAAGATGCTGTTTTCCCTTGAGTTTCACATATGAATGTTAGCTCAGATGCTAAAAGAAATAGAAGAATAAACTTTAATACACTAGGATTTTAATTGGAGGGGGGAAATAAGGGGGGAAAGAAGCCTTTATTTATTTAGCTTTGTATAAAGGTATGTACATGTATGTATATTTTTTCCTAGCAAGAAATATCTATTTGCATTTCCCTTAGGAAGGATGGCACTTGGAGTACTTCTAAATATATATGTGTATGTGTGTGTATGTGTATATGTATATATACATATATATATATATATATATATATGTAACTTTATATACATCTGTATAACAAATGTCATGGAAACTACAAATCAGACCATTTAATTGGATTGTTACAGAATATTAATGACTGTAATTAATTGATTCAAAATTATTTAATGTTTCTTACTCTATAACTTTATTTTCCTTTTCCCTTTTTATGCATTTTAACCTAAACTTCTGTCAAATAAATATCTTTTTATGAAAGTCATTAAAAAAAGGGATAACAAATATGATTAACAAAATCCATCTCTTTTGTATGTCTTCTGTTTCTCTACCATATGCAAAACTGCTACCATATAATGCTTAGTCATGGGTGGCATGAGATGTATTTAACTTAGATTTATGGATAAAATAAAAATTCACAAGTATTCTATAACTTTTCTCCCCCTTTTAGTTATCTGTCATCCTCAGTCTTGAGACTGTATCACTTTGTATTTTGAGTTGATATTATGTGGGTAGGTGACTTAACTGGCATTTAAATTACAATGAATTTTTTCTGAATTAAGAGCAGGTAAATATTTCTTTGGATTAAAAATTTTGGAGAAATGTGGCAAAACTTGTCACAAATAAATGTTTGACATTTTGATTTAAAAACAAAAATGAAAACAGCCCCAAGTAGTTTGGGCCCATAAGTGGTAGGCTCATAAGAAAAATGTTAGTGTAAATATTAGACATTCAAAGCTCTTGACAAATATGAAGTCAGCCTACAGTTAATTGGGAAATAGTTTGCAAATAAAAGTACCTTTTTGGAAATTGGGGAATTCAGAGTATTAAAATTAGAGAATCCTTTTTCATTAAATATACTTACATTGCTGAACATTTATTCTTAATGAACATTTTAATTCTAGTTAGCAGTAGGAATATCAAGAAATATGACGTGTCATCCTCAATATTCCTTGACCATTTCTTCTTAAACTGAGAGTAAAGATATATCTAATGAATTTCACTCTCGTATTGTAAAAAGACAAGTCCAAGTTTGGTTCTGACGCAGAGACGTGTGACCCTGGATATAGATCCCTGGACCTCTCTGCCTGTTTTCCTGTCTGTAAACTAGGGATAACATCTGCACTGTCTTTCAGACTGGTGAGGATAGGAAGCCAATACATACTAGGCAAACGTGAGCTACTGAACTTCATAGGGCCTTGTCTCCAAAAAGCATACTTGGAAAAAGTTCCACCGGTGATGGTCTCATGGAGACGTTTTCTTAATTAAATTTCTTTTACAGCTGTTACTTGAGAACAAATTTAGTTACTGTTTTGGAACTTTACCAGTGTAGAAGTGGCCGAACACAGAAGGGCTGCATTGCTATAACGTTATTTCACTGATGTGTCTCCCCTTCTGGTGGTGCCCATCACAATCCATCTGTGCCTTCTCATCCTGCACAACTTTTGCCCATGCCCTTCTGTCATTTCTTCACAGGGGCCTGAGCCAGTTCCCTGAGGACTTTCTCGTAATAGTACATTGGTGTCAATGCAGCATCCAAGCTTTTTTTTTTTCTTGCTATGTGACCAGCTCATTGCCTTTTCTGATTACATATCTGACATATTTTGTGTTACTCCATGCATAAAATTATTTGTAATGTGCTGCAATTGATGCCAATCATTTGAGAGACCTGCAATTTTGATTCCATAGCATTGTGGTTAATCCAAGATTCACTGCCATATAGTACCATGAGAAGAGTGTTGGTGTTTAAAATAAAAAAAAAACAAAATGATGGGTTTTTGTTTCTGGTTGATGCTTAAAGTCATTGAAAATGCTATGAATTTTCCAAGTGCAATCCAGCCTTCTTTCTCTTATTCATTTCTCTGGGGTTGATGGATCGTGTGTTTTGTTTTTAAGCCAATATTGTCATTTCTAGCTAGTTCAGAAATAGCAACTGAACAGGAATAGCAGCTTTATAAACATGTAGAAATATTTCTGAAAAGCTGAGATGTGTAACACTATTTAAGAGACAATTGAGTTACAAGGGAGGTACATAAGGCAGGTGGCTTTGCCCTGGTCATAGAAGGAAATGGAATAGAACCTATATCTAATGTGTTAGGATGTGATTTCTTAAAATCTTGGAATTAAACGATCCTATTTATGAAATAAGTAGCATCTCTTCCTTATATTTTAGCATTTACAGAAATAAACACTGCAGGGTATTGGTTAGAATGATAACTCCAAAACTTAGACACAGGGGTCCTTTATGCTTTTTTGTGTCTCAGACCCTTTTGGCAGTGTGGTGAAGCCTATCAGTCCCTTCTCCGAACATACAACACACACACACACACACACTACAAAACTGGGCATTTTGTACTAATAGTAAAGAGGAGAGACGTTTTTATATACATATGCATGTGTGTCCTCTTTACTTTTATTCGTTAGTACAAATTCAGGGTTTAGAACACCCAGACTTAAAAACAACTTTTGTTTTCTCAAACACATAAGAGGTCAGGAAATGCCAGCAATAACAGTTCTATCTCACTGTGTCCTTGCCACTGATGGAGAAAAAAGTAGATTCCAATAATCTGAGTTGGGGCTTCAGAGCCCAACTAGAAACAAATTTCCTCTACAACATGCCTGAAAAGTGTGACAACTTTTGTTTAAAGGGCTCTGGTGGAAGGTAAGGGGGGAGGATATCCACTCCCTCCTTAGCCAGTCCATTCTACTTTGGGATAGCTTAAATATTTGGAAAGTTTTCCTTACAAAATAACAAAATTTTCCACTTTGCAACTTTCACCCATTGCTCCTATTACCCTCCAGACCAAGATTAAAGAGATTAATCAGCTGCATGGTTGGCTGTTCCCTAACTGCTACTTAGTATTTCTTACAAAAAAACAATTGCCACAAGTTACTAGGAAGCTTTTACCTTAAATCACTTAGACATACATGACTTGCTGTTGCACTCTGATTTAAGTCGAAATTAAACCTGTAACTTCTCATTGGGCATTTTCAAGGCTGCCAGAAGGAATCAGCTGCCAGCTTACTAGAATGTGGAAAACAGCACGTGACCCAGAGACTGGAATCAAAATGCTAATTGAAAAAAGGTCAAGTGAAAAAGCCTCCCTCTTCCAGTGCATGTGTTGTTTCCTGGCTGAAGTAGACAAAGAAACCGCAAGCCCTGGACTTTGCCTGGGGGGTTAGGGCAATCTCTAAATCTATTCCCTGAAATAAGAATTATGCCTGAAATGCTGGTGGAAATGGAACAGGTAAGGGTTGGACATTGGAGAATTAAAATGCTTTAGTTTGGGAATTCGACGTGTTAACACTTTAAAACTGAAATCTCAATGAGAAAAATAGAACTAGTATTAACAAACCTACAAAGTTAGCTGGAGTGTACCATGTAGATGTGAAAGTTTGTTCAACATTGAAAATGGGAGTGGGGCGAAGGCTTTGATTCAGGGGATCACAGCATTCAGTTCAAAGTTTAAGGAGCTGACATGAACACAATGCCAAATGTAGTACGATTTTCATTTGTTAGCACTTAAAATGTTCTCCCTCATTACCTTGTCCCAGATTACTTAGGGATTCCATCTATGGTTCCCTGCTCCTATTTTTTTTTTTGTTTTGCTATATGAAGAGATTTTTGTTAGTATTGTGTATGTGTGTATTCTTCACCCTACTTAATTTAAATTTACAGACTAAGTTGTGACATATCTTACCTACTGATCGGATTTACACTTATTCTCCTAGTATCACCAAGGATGTATTTTCTACTCATAACAGCCTAGGAATAAAAACCAAGCCATTGTGACAGGTAGCAAATAACTGATGTTCAGATATAAGTTAGGTGAGTTACTAGTGCCGTGGTAGGGCTCTTCCCCTTCCCCCCACTCTCCCTTTATATAAGACAGGGAAATTGCCTTACTACTTCTTACCTGGAGGCCTTCCACTGAGCAGAATAGGATTTTGGTTTTGTCTTCTTAAATAGTTTGAGTTGTTACATTGGAATCTCTTTTAACTTTAAAAACAAAACCACACAAAACCATCCAAGAATAGTATCCAGGTTTGGTTGGGTTTTTTTTCCTGATTAACTTATCACCTGAAGATTGTGTGTGTAATTTAAGGGCACTTAGTGTGATCAGAAAACCAACATACTCAGATTTACACCATAAGACCTACAATTGTTTTGGTTCGTCTTCTGTACCAAACTCTATCCCTGTAAAACAAGGGATTCATGCCATTTGTGAATGCATTGAGAGGTCGAGGGGTGGGGGAAGAAGGGTTGGGAAAGAATGGAAGAGAAGTACCAGGACTCAGAAAAAAAAAAGTCTTTTTAAAGCATTGTAGTCTTGAGTTGCTTTATGTGCCGACAGATGACAATTAGGAAACCATCTTTCTCTCTTTAGTTTTCTGCCATTCTCAAGATCATGGTTTTCCCCCTGCTGTTTAGGTAATGTCATCTACTGTACTGGAAGAACACTAGATGCTGTTACACGTCTAGGACAGGGTCTGACAAGTCAAACCTATGATGCACTCTCCCTGTCACACAGAGTACGCAATGACCTTTGGCCACCAGCAATGGAGATGACTGTGGAAGGGACTTAACAACAGGCCAAACCCTTTTAGTTTTTCCCATCTATCTAGCACTGATTTTCAGAACTCTGACTTAATATAGAATGGCAAGACATTCCCTGACTTGTTTTGAGAGACTAGAGACCTAGTTATTTGAGGACTGTCGTGAAGAAGCAGCGTTTACCAGGTGCAGAAAAGGGGCAGTGAACCTATGTTCCAAAAGCTCCTGATGGTGTGAGTGAAGAAGTCGCAGATAACAGGATTTAGAGCTGGAAAAGAATTTTAGAAAATAGAATGTCAGTTGTCTTGCTTGACACAGTGTTAAGAATGCTTGGAGTCACAGGACCTGATTTTGAATTCCATTACTCATGTGACTTCAGCTAAATCACACAACTTCTCTCAGTCTGAGTCTCATTTGCAAAATTAGGCGGCTGCATTGGCCTCCAGCCTCTCCCAGCTCCAAACCTCTGATGGAAGTGATGATGTGTCCAATACCACACAGCTAAGAAGGGGCAGGCAGATTCTAACCAAGGTTTTTGAATCTTAAATCACTTTTCTCTGGTTTTAGTGTTAAATCTCTATCCTCCTGGGCGTAACAAAGGCCAGAAACTCCTACATCTTATTGTCTACTGCTTTGCAAAAGTAGATAATCCTCATCCAGTTCTTGCAACAGCCTAGACTTGTATGCTTAGAACTCGGCCCTATGCTACGTTTGTCCCTTTAAAGACCCCGAGAGAGAGGGAGCGTGAGCATAGCCAATCAGCACTTCTGACTACAGGAGAAGCTGACCAATCAGCCACCCCGAACGGGAGGGAGGCGTGGCCAATGGGCGTGCGTGTCTGTGGCGGCGGAAGCCGGAAGGGACCTCGCCAAGGGGCAGGGCCTGAGCCTGAACCTGGTGGGAGGCGTTCCTGACGCTGGTGGCTGCGGGGCCGAAGCTGGGGCTGGGGCTCGGGCTCAGGTTGGAGGCGGGCGGCGCCGCCACGGCTGCGGGGATGGTGGGGCGGGAGAAGGAGCTGACCATCCACTTCGTCCCCGGGAGCTGCCAGTTGGTGGAGGTGAGCGGAGTCGGCCCTGTGCTTCCGCCCGCCCCTCTTCTCCCCGCGGGCAGCCGAGCTGCCTGCGTGTTTCCCCGCTCGGGAGCTTCGGAGCCCGGGGGGGCCGAAGCCCCGGGGGCGCTGGAGCGGGCAGAGCCGGGACGCGCCTGACCCTTGTTTGCCGAAGGCGCTTTCCGCCTCGGAGGCCGCGGTTTTGCTTCCCTGGTCCCGGGAAGAGTTTGTGTTTCCTGTTGGAGGCTTCAGGCTCGCCTGGGCAGTGATTTCACTTCCCTTCTCTTCTCTTTGCTGATTTTCCTGCAACTTCGTGGTCAGAAGCAGCAGCAGCTTTCTGGCCCGCAGAACGCGATGGGCGGGGCTCGTCAGGCCCGGGGTCTTCCCGGTCAGAGGTCTTACGAGCCCTGGCGGGGCTGAGGGGCGGGGGAGGGGTGTGTCTCTGGAGGAGCACTTTGCGGATCTGCACTTCTTAAAGTTTGTGGTGGTTAAAGACCTCCATTTCTGTCCCGGGGGCTGAGGAGAGTTCAGGTTCTACTGTCAGATCTAGGAATCCTGTGTTCTGACTCGTCTTCCTGCTGCCCTCACTGCCTCCCCTCATAAATAATGATGCCCTCATGAGTACTTCTGGAATCGAATCCTTTAAATATGTGCACACGTGTGTATGTGTATGCGTGCGCAGCACATATTTACATATACGCACGTGTGTGCATATTGTGTGTGCATGCACACGTGTGTATATATATATGGGTGTGTGCGTACGTATGTATGTGTGGGCATATATATATATATATATGAATTTTATTCTGTGAGAATCTTCCTGAGTGAACCATAAATTTCTAAAAATGGGTCGATAGTGGTGTTATGGTAGCCTTGGTGGTTAAGTTCATGACAAGGGAGCAGTACGTAGTTATGAATTACAATAAGCTCTTGAGAATGAATATTTTCTTAGTATCACGAATTGTGAGTGCTTGTTATTTATGACACATTCTTCTTAGAAACAATAGGGTGTAGTGGGTAGACAGCTGGAGGCACAAAGATCTGGGTTCCAGTCTTGGTGGTGACAGATACTGACCCTGGGCAAATAATTTAACTACTTAGTCTCCTAAGACTGGTGATCTGAGAGTTCTCTTATGCTAATGAAATTACAGGTACAGACAAACAGGAAAAAGATGTTGCACCATTATGTTAAATAGTATGAAGCAGGAAAAAATGTGTTAACATTCAGTAGCTCGCTCACGTCATCTAGCTCTGTGACTTTGGGGAAGTCATTTAACCTCACTCAGTCTCAGTTCTCTAATAAAGTGTACATAATGAAATCTGCCTTCCTAGGACTTAAATGAGATAATGAATCTAAAACATGCTGTACAAATAGACTTCCATGAACTTGTGATTCTGAGGTGAAGACTGGAGCCCCTAGATGTTTTCCCATCCTGTGTAATTTTCTTTCACCTTTAAAAATCCACAAAAAATGTGGTTATAGTATTTACCT